AAAAGCCACAATTTGGAGGAAAAGTCTCCACTGTGTCATAAATATCTTTTATATATTTTCTGGGTCCTCTTCAGTGACCAGTAATTCTAGATTTTTCACACAATTGTCTTTTGTTTTTTAACCGACCAGTGAATTGTGCATGTTGGAATGAATGTTGTGTATTGTTCCGAGGATTGTCTTAAGTCGTGTTAATTTGCTTGGTGTGACACAATACCTGCAGTATCTAATTCGAGTTTTTTTGTTACCAAGTGCTCAAAGGCAGCTCTTAACAAGCGAGGTGTTTGCTGACTGGATTTTGGTTTTAATTGCTGAGGTTAATGAGTTTAAATGCGCTGAAATAACTGCGTCATACTCACCAAACCCTTCTGGAAATGCGCTTTGTTTTCTACAGCTATAATTAACAGCAGCCCACGTGTGTTTTTTCTTTTTATTTGTGTTTTTATTTTTGTTTTTTACTGAAGCAGCACCAAAAGTGGGAAGTTGAGGCAATGTTAGGCTTCTCTCCCTCTCTCTGTCTTTCTGAGTCATCAACCACTCTTGTCTTTTACACTGTGAGTTAAAGTCAGGCTCCAAGTGCTCACTTCAACCAAAAAAGGAGAGCTTAAGAAGGTTTTAAATGGATGTCTACAACTTTGTGCTTGTTAACTCCATCTCAGCTTCTAGCTCAACCTAATGCCTTCCTCTAGATATTTAAGCATGCACCTGAAAGCCCTTAATAACCTTAAATAGTTTTAACTAAATTACTACATTAAGTCCAACATGTACAAAAACATTCATTTTATTTATTTATTATTCATTTTATTTTCTAAATAGGTCAGATTTGACTTTCCCCTTTGCTAGAAAGAGGCCTATTCATAACCAGATTATCTGTTTCATCCTACAGGATATCAGACAGCAGCCAGTAAGCTAAATGGGATTTTTAAAAACAAAACAAACCATTCTTTTCAGCCTGCTGGAAGGCTATTTATTATACAAAATCAAAGAAGTTTAAAATGCAACCACTTAACATGACCAAAATTAAAAAGCAGGACTAAGAGAATTTTGAATAGCTGGTCTTTTCCTCCACAAAAACATGGTGGGTTGAAATAGAGATTAACTGCAATTAGCATTGACTGACCTTGCCCCCAACTGGAGACAGTCATGTCTTAACAAGGCGCCTTCCAAAAAGAATGCCCGCATCCAATTCTCTCAATTATGCAAATTGCGTTGAAATCAAAGTAGTTGGAGGGGGCAAACATTTTCAAATGAAAAGTTGGGGAGCCCTGGAACGAGACTGCAGTGCTTTTACGTTAGCTAGTCTGCTCCACACAAGTTAAGATCTTCCACACTGTGAAGTAAACACAAAGAAAGGAGTTTTCAACAAATTGGGAGATTAGGGGCCAGTTATCAAAGTAGATTTATTGTGCCTTGTTCAAGCGAAGGATGAAAATACCCTGTGGGCATGGAGAAGGGGTCATGGGACTCCCAAAAGGATTACCTTGAACTGGAGTCATGAGACTTGGGCGAACAAAGACCCTGCTCACATGCTCATCATATTAACTGGCCCCATAAAGTGAAGAAGTTTCATGTCCTGTGGGATTCAATGAGAGCACTTGACTGGGAGTGCAGCAACAGCAAAGCTCTGGTAGGGGAGCAGTAGACTGTAGACTCCCTTTCTACCCTGTAAGTTTAACCTCCAGCAGCACTCAAGATAGGACTCTGCAGCTCGGACAGAACATTGTGTGTAAGTGAATCTACATTCTGTAACTGCAACTCTTTTTAGAAACTTAATTTTGTAATTTTTATGAGATGTGGGACAAATTATAGATCCTAGAAAGTGAATTCAGATGTGGTGAATGTGTGAACAGGCAGTACTGTGAGTTCTGGGTGCTTAAAGATGCATGATAGTACTGAGGTGGAAAATCGCCAAGACAGAAACAGACAGAAACAGACAGAAACAACCACCTTATGCCTTGGACCTTTTTTGAAAATACAACAAGTGATATTACATAGTGATATACAATAGTGATATTTTAAAACCTACCTAGTTAAAAGTATTTGTAACATTTGTACATACACTTTTCATAGTCAAATTGTCTTCATGCAAACAAATACTTTAATGCAAATGCAAAAATAAAGCAACTAAATTGTTTTAAAAATGAACATTGTGTATTTTTAAAATCTGTTGTATCTACTGATTGAGCAAAACATTACTTAGTGATTTTATCTACTCAGCCAAGTCATTATCAGATGACTGTTTTGGATTAACACTAAATGAGATGAATCTGTTGGGGGAAATCCTGTCATTGCAGTCTTAAACAATATAGTTAAATATAGTTGTGTTTATATATGTATGAAGGGAAGGATGAGTTTGTATTAAATAATGAAGAGCAACAGCAGTACTGTTGCAGTTCAACTCATTAAGAGTATTAGTAGTAAAAAAGAATCAAGTAGGATATAACAGTATGTATAAGTAGTGAAAAATTAATAACATGCAAAATGTAATAAGCTTAATGCAAAGAACATAGTATCTGCAATAATGTACATGAACGGGTATATCAACCAGGTGTACTGTGTAGAAAGGTTGTATAAATGGGCAGACCTCATCAAATAATAACTTGTTTGCAGAAACCATGAGAGCATTATATAAACCAAAAAAATACAGTTTTGCAGCCACCTTGATGCACCTCCTCACCGGCTGAAGACATTTCTGCAGATAAAGAGAGAGACAACAGTAACTGTACTGGGTTAATGGCACTTGTGGTTACTATTTGCAAGACTTCATTAGAGTTGATGTATGGTCTTTCATTTATACTTCATTCATACTTAACCAGAACAAAGAAATATGACCACATTACTCCTATTTTAGCTTCATTAAACTGGCTCCCAGTATGTTTTAGAATTGACTTTAAAATTCTATTGATCACTTTTAAAGCTCTTCATGGCCTCTCGCCTTGTTATATTTCTGAACTTTTAGTCCCATACACACCAGCACGTACCTTGAGATCCTCGGGCAGAGGTCTGATGTCTGTTCCAGAGTCTCGACTGAAAACTAAAGGGGACAGAGCGTTTGCTGTCAGGGCCCCGAGGCTCTGGAACAGCCTGCCCGAGGAAATCAGGTTGGCTGAGTCAGTGAACTCTTTTAAGTCCCTTCTTAAAACATACTTTTATAGGAGAGCCTTTCCCGATCTTATTTGACTTTATTTTATCCCTTTTATTTTATTCTATTTTACTAATTTTATATTTATCTTAAACATGTATTTTAGTCTTTTCAATGTTTTCATGCTTTTATCTTGTATTGTTTTTGTATTATTGTCTTTTGGGTATTACTGTCTTTACACTTGTTAAAGCACTTTGTAACCTGTTTTTGAAAAGTGCTCTACAAATAAAGATTATTATTTATTATTATTATTATTATTATTATTACTCACATGACTTCAGACTCATAGGTGAAGTCAATAGATTTTAACGCTATTAATGCTGTTACATATTATAATGATATTTTCCATTTAACTTCTGAGTGTTTTCTTGGAAACATTTGCTTCGAATGCTTCAGTTTTTAATTGGGCCTCCACCATCAACAATGGCCCTCAGAAAAGCCTCGCTTTGAACTCAGGTCATTTTTGCTCAGCACTGGAAAAACATCAGACAGCAATCAGAGCAGGATTTGACAAAGTGTGTGCATACTTTTGTGTGAAGTTTTTTCCACTGGCTGCTTATCAAGTTCCAGCTCTAATTCTGAAGAGCTGCTAATCCACATCAACAGTGCTCTAATAATCTCAGGAGCAACAAAACATGCTCAATCTTACATGTATACAATGTTTTTGGTCGTCGATGCGGCAATATAAACTGTATTTCGAAGTCTCTACAGAAACAATTTCACTACGATTATATTTTCTCCTCTCTCACTGGGTTTCTCTGTAGGCTGCAAATGGTCTTCATCTTTTAGCCGGGCTTACTACTAAGAGGATTTTGATAGTGAAACTTAAAAGCAGATATAGACAAAGATGATCTCCCTGTGACTATAGAATGACACCATATCATGTGAGCTGACACTTCTTTTATTTCTCTTCGATTCTCTCTTTACAGGCACAAAAAGCTTGGATTGAGAGGAACTTTCTAAAAAGAGAATGTATCCACATATTTCCCACCAAGGACCCCACCAGGTAATTTTTGTCTTCAAATGACCTTTCAAATGGTTATTTATTACTTATGGTAAACATATGGCCTTCGGTTACAACAGCAGCTACTTTTTTACTACATTTTTATTGATTATGAGATGAAGAATATGACTCCAAAACTCACCAAACTTTTACTGTCAAATTTAGTGACGTTTCACTGACAGTGTTGCTCCTTTTTACTGCTTGAGAATGCTATTTGACTCTATAAAAAAAGTTTGTTATGAAAAATGTAGTTATCATACTGGTATAAACTCTTTAATAAAATGTGTAACTCATGACAGTGTTATAAATTAAAATATGAATGAGATGCCATTCAGCTCCATGTTCACTATGTTTTAAATAGATTAGAAATAATTTCACTCTACTAGTTCATTCATTCACTGACACCTATAACTCAGATATTTATCAGGATTAAGAGAATGTATTTCAGGACATGGTTACTATCCTGGGCTCCGAGAACAAGCTGAGAGCAGCCAGGCAGTGCAGCCCTTTGTTCGTTGAGGCATGCATTTCCCAGAAATGGGCACGGCCATGAAAAAGCCTGTTGCGATGTGTGTTTCGAGGAAAAGACACAGCCTTGATGAGTACTCTAAACAACAGACTTGGCTTATTCACTTCTAGTCATGATTCATACCTTTAACAATACTGGAAATTATGCTGCACAGGGATGTCTGTGAATAATCAATACAGTTTTGAAGTTTGGAACCAGGGACCAGGCACCACGGCCACGCAGGACTGACATGTTGACTGATTGATGCTTGTTCTGTGATCTATCTAGATGTGCCTGTGGTCAGCTGACAACGCAGCACGTGGCCATCCCTCCTGGTGCCAACTCAGTAGAGGAAACGAACCAGCTGGTGCAGATTGACACTCCAAAGGATAAATGGAGTGTGATCAAGCACACCAGGACCTACCCAACAGACGCTTTTGGCCTAATCGAGTTCCAGGGAGGAGGATTCATCAACAAGGCCATGGTGAGACTCAGACACCAAAAACATAGCCTACACATATCTGGTCTTCATCAGAAGTTACAACAACAGCATGAGAGTTTATTTTATTTTTTTATTTATTATTATTATTTTTTTTTTTACATCTGACTGTTGTAAAGAACTTACAGCAATCAAAGTGACTGTGTGGTTTGATTAGAAATACGTCACAATACTCTACTTCTTCTTTTCTTTCCTAGTATATTCGAGTCACCTATGACACCAAGCCTGACAACCTCCTGCACTTGATGGTGAAGGACTGGCAGTTGGAGCTGCCCACCCTGCTCATCTCCGTTCACGGAGGTCTCCAAAACTTCGACCTCCAGCCCAAACTCAAGCAAGTGTTTGGCAAAGGCCTGATCAAAGCCGCCGTCACCACCGGGGCTTGGATCTTCACGGGTGGAGTCAACACGGGTAGGACAGTTCAGGATAATGCTTTTAATGTTCACTTAACAAATAACAGTGACATTTGAAGATTACCTTTGCTCTAAATTGTCCATTACATAATACATATTCTGCAATTTCCTGGGAGAGATTTGACGAACCCATTGTCATAGGTTTAAGCACTGTAATTAGAGCTTTTGTGGGAAAATTCATCACAAATGACCATCTGTGTGGATTTTGCGTGTCCCATGATGTGGCCCCACAGTTGAAATAATCACTATTCATGTTGCTATATTTTGTTCTTTGCACCTTAGGAGTGATCCGTCATGTCGGAGATGCCTTGAAAGAGCATTCCTCCAAGTCTCGAGGGAAGGTGTGCGCAATAGGAATTGCTCCATGGGGGATCTTGGAAAACAAAGAGGATCTTATCGGAAAAGATGTGAGAACATTTGCAGCTTTGCATTTAGTTTCCAAAAAAAGGGACCCTTTCTTGCCAACATTTCTTCTTGAAACGTTTCAAACTAATGAATTTATCTTTTCCCAGGTAACCAGACCCTATCAGACGATGGCGAACCCGCTGAGCAAGCTGGCTGTGCTCAACAACAGCCACTCCCACTTCATCCTAACTGACAACGGCACCTGCGGGAAGTATGGCTCTGAGGTCAAACTCCGCCGGCTGCTGGAGAAGCACATCTCCCTGCAGAAGATCAACACGCGTAAGTCAAACAGTCCTCCGCAGACGTCATCATAACACATACCCTATCCTCCATGGTTTGTGAGTGTGAGCCAGAGGCTTGTTGGACATGTGGATGGAGAGCTCCTCTGTGACCTGTGGGCTTCCCTTTGTCATCCTATGCCTGGAGCTCGGATAAGGCAGGGACAGCAAAGGGATGCTCAGCTGTCACCACTGACTTCACTCCCTCCCTCCTCTGGTTTGTCTGTTCTGCTCTGACATTTCATTCCCAAAGTTCTGTTATTAAGGTAACACTAAGGTGACACTATAAAGCGACAGTTAGGTATTGGATGGAAGGACTGATTATTTCTGGCTGTGTGTTCCAGGTTTGGGTCAGGGGGTTCCTCTAGTGTGTCTGATAGTGGAGGGAGGTCCTAACGTGATCTCCATTGCACTGGAGAGTCTGAGAGACGAGCCTCCCATCCCCGTGGTGGTTTGTGACGGCAGCGGCCGAGCTTCTGACATAATTTCCTTTGCACACAAGTTCTCAGAGGACGGAGGGTGAGATTTTGGATGATTTGTCCTCAGCTGTACTTTGATATCATATTTCTGGTAAAAAGCTAAAATGCTATCCTTAAATATCCTTTCCCAGCCTGGTTAATGATGATGTCAGAGAGCAGCTTTTGGTGACTATTCAGAAGACTTTCAATTACAGCAAAAGCCAATCGCAGCAGATCCTGCTCATGGTTATGGAGTGCATGAAGAAAAGGGAATTGGTGAGTAAAAGAATAAACTGAGTAAAACCCTCATAAAAGAGAAAAATAAGGTGTTCGTCTCTTTAAGCTCCACATATTTCACATTTATCTTGTAAATGAAAAAAACATGCCTGTGTCAATCAATAAATAATTCTGAGTTGCCAAGCATCTGGTCTCCATCGTCATTCATCCACTCCATCTGTGTATGTCCATTAACATATTGAATAAAAATAATCCCCACAGTATCTCCTTTTTGTTGTGGTCGTGTGTGGTATGTCATGTAACCTGGGGAATTCGCAGCTTCACTGTAGGTCATCATCAACCCTCATGTATAAGCACACTGCTGTAAAGTGGTGGTTCCACGGTGTTAAAGTGTTTACTTCAGTGTAAACAATACAGCGCCTGGTGCCACACACCCTGGTAAGAGTCTTCACAGATAGCAGATTAATCCCTGAGCTGAGAGTGTTTCTCCAAAGTGTTTCTCCTTGGTACATAAATAGTGGCGGCAATTTGTGCATCTCCAGCAGATTTCTGTATAGGCATAATTGATGTGATTAGTAGTTTGTAATACCCAGCGCACATAATCTCCAGACTCCATACATTTGGGTGGGAAAGATCAGCACACACTGCCACCTGCTTAGCAGAGACTCTAACTTCATCCATTCACAGTAAGCATGCAGCACACAGATGGAGAAGTGGATCCATCTCCCTAATCCTCAGCCAGGTTCCTCTCTTTCCACTCCCCGGGCTCTTTTTTCAGTCCCGAGTGCAATCACTTCACCAGCTACTCTGCATCCTCTATCCCCGACGTATTAGACAGCCTAATGCTCCAACACACTCAGATAAGCAACTTAAACAGCTTTTTTCCAAATATCATACCGCTGTGGCCTTGTTTGCGTACCATTTAGTTATCAGTGATACCCGACCCAGACAATGTGACAGAGCTGCCAAGTTGTTTGAGCTCTTTATATGCAACTAAGAGGCCACGCTATTGCCTGCTCTTAATCTAAAGTGCCATGACTAACCTACAGGTGAATCAGTGTCACTGTATGGTCCCCGCATAATCCTTTCATCCTAAGTGCATCCCATGTGAACAGCTGGGTTACACAAATAAAAACACTTATTTAGAAGGCAGAAATGTGCTGTGATGTAACACCAGGATATAACATTTGACTGAATTAGGAGTTCCCCATTATAAAAGTCTCCCTATTTTCAAAAAACAAAGCGCACAGCTCACCCTACAACGGTCTGAAAGAGCAACACACGCATTGTCTTCATACTGATGCGATACTCATTATTAATGCATCCCGAGACCAGCTCTGAAATCTCTGGCGCCGTGCCACATATTCATGCCAACCTAATCCCATTTATCATGGCCGCACATGTGACCGACCCGTCAGCGTAATTTCATTCGATATAGTCTATGATAAGAAAAGAGTTTATGACAAGAAAAGCACTATCACGCTGTCTGACAAGTAAATTAGCTGTTTGTGCTGGAAAGGTCAGCCACGGAGTCCTGCTGAAAGAATCTCCTGTCAGTTGACGCCACATGTTTACAGCTACAGTTAGAGTGGCGTTACATTCCTGGCATGAATTCACTCATTCATTCGTTCATCAATTAATTTATGTGGTTTGTTATTAACTGAGTCAACCATTGGAGTAAATGACTTCCTGTTGTTTTCTTACATGTAGATCACAGTTTTTCGGATGGGTTCTGAGGGACAACAAGATATTGAAATGGCCATTCTTACTGCCTTGCTAAAAGGTATTATCTCAACAGTATATGTGCATGTACACCTATTACATCATAGCGGTACATTTCTTTAAATCTAGACAGATAATCAATTTCTCTGCCCTACCTTTTCTTTTGCTTTAGGCACAAATGCTTCAGCAGCTGACCAGCTCAGCTTGGCTCTGGCCTGGAACAGAGTGGATATTGCTCGCAATCACATCTTTGTTTACGGACACAACTTACCAGTGAGTGGTGCTCACATCTGAATAGTGTAAATGAATAATTCCACACGAGTGCACTACAGTTGCAAAGTTGGCAAGGATGTGGAAGAATTTGGTTTTGAAAACCAAAGAATCATTTAAAATAGAGTTGCTTAAAGTCCCCCTCCAAACAAAAAAGTGTTTTGCTCTTTGTTACTTCACGTGGATGTTTGAGCTTCACTGTGCATAATGCTGTATGTGCAGAGTTTGACACTAGTTTGACATTCATCATCAAGGAGGAATGTTTCTCTCAGTTTAAGGCATGTACCTGTGACTATGATTTTATGACATCACAAGGCAATCACAGTTCAATGTGAAACATTCGGCACACATGCACTGACGATGGACCTTTTCAGTGAAGCAGGAGACAAATTGTGTCCAGCAGTTAAACTTTTGAAATTGAGATTGAAAAGATTATGGATTTTTTAACATGGGAGACGTAGATGTAATTTTGAGAGTTAACAGAGCTTTTTTTGTGGAAAAATCATATCACACATGAATTAATTATTAAGAGCAGAATCATTTTTATATGCCTTCAAACATGTATGGAAGGGATCTTTAGACAACAGTGTGTACTTATAGCAGAAAGACATATAGCAGAAAGACATAAAGATCTGTGTTGCATTTCTCAGATGCACACAATTCCAATGATTTAATGTAGTCATTAATGTAGTAATAGAAAGAGACTGATGTGTTGATGCTTAAGCAAAGAGGAGCAACAGCTTTATTTATTTACCTTATTTCTGCTTGGCAAGCCTGCCAGTGCCATCGCCAACACTACAACCACTGTAGCTGCGACCCAGGAGAAGCAAAAGAGTCCTGCCTGCGCTCCTCGCAACAAAACCCGAGGAAAGAAGGGGAAGGGGAAAGGAAAGGCAAAGCCTGAACCTCCGGAGGAAACAGACCCTAGGAAGTTGGAGATGAATCGTTGGGTAAGAGTGGGATTTATGAACAAAAAACTCTCACTTCAGTTTAAAAGATGAGAATACAGTGAAGGCTATGATGTGTAAATAAGAATCCGTCTGTCTTATGTATTACTTTCTCTCAGGTGAACTCTCTGGAGCAGGCTATGATGGATGCTCTGGTGCTGGACAGAGTGGACTTTGTCAAACTGCTCCTTGAGAATGGTGTCAATATTCACCACTTCCTCACCATTCCCAGACTGGAGGAGTTATACAACACGGTGGGCCTGGCACACTGCAGCAAATGAAAATGAAACCAATTCTCAATCACTCAAAACACAGATATAAAAATACAAAGGGTTGACATTTAATACTAACCTTCTTCCTTCTCCTCTCTTCTCCGCTTGTCTCCGCAGAAACTTGGCCCTGCAAACACACTGAATGCTGTGGTTAGAGACATCAAAAAGGTAAACTGATCTTAGTTTTTCTGATTATATTTTATCTTGAGACTAGGGCTGAACAATATGGCGAAAATGTTATCATTACATGTCATTCAATATCAATAATTATCACAATAAATGTCAAATCATTATTTCTTTCAAGTTTAAAGGCTGGTTTTTGCTCCAGAGTGAATGTGGTTTTAAACTATTCGTTATGGTCAGAACATGACAAACACTGGACAAACATTGGATCACTTAACAAATCTGAGGTAGAACATTCAAAACAATTCTGATAAAACCTTTTTTCAACAAAGAGTAAAATTAAATAAAACATTTTTTTCAGTCCCTTTTACTCAACAAAATGAATATCTTAATAGAAAAATTAAGTCCCAATTTGTTTGGGATTCAAATGATTTAAATCAAACATTTATCGAACACTTCTTATATTGTTATTGAGGAACATTATATCGTGGTAATTATCATTATTGTTTTATTGCCCAGCCCTACTGGAGACACTTGCTATATTATATATTACTCTGGTGACTCTGCAGGGAAACCTTCCTCCGGATTATCAGATCACTTTGATTGATATTGGTCTGGTGCTGGAGTGCTTCATGGGTGGAGCTTACAGAAGCAATTACACCAGGAAGGCTTTCCGCAACCTCTACAACAATTTGTATGGACTTAAAAGGGTACGCATGGGTGGAAGAAAATTATTGATAATGGCTTGTTCATCATATTAAGTAAAGTTTGAAATTAATTATTGTGTTTTTCGTTCTCTCTTCTTGTAGCCAAAGGCTCTGAAGCTTCTAGGAATGGAGGTGGGTCCTGTCCTTTCCACATCAAAATATTCTCAAGTGCTGAAACAATACAACCCACATAGCAGAATAATATTTCACATGTTTTCATTTTGCTAGGATGATGAACCTAGGACGAAAGGCAAGAAAAGGGCAAAAAAGAAGAAAGAGGAAGAGGTGGAAATTGATGTGGATGACCCTGAGGTCTGTCGATTCAAGTTCCCCTTCCACGAGCTGATGCTGTGGGCAGTGCTGATGAAGCGACAGAAGATGGCGCTGTTCCTGTGGCAGCGAGGAGAAGAAGCGATGGCTAAAGCCCTGGTGGCCTGTAAACTGTATAAAGCCATGGCCCATGAGTGCTCTGAGAGTGAACTGGTGGATGACATCTCCCAAGACCTGGAGAACAATTCCAAGTCAGTTCATATAACTAAAAAAGTTATAGTCTCACAAGGTATTTTCTCAAGATAGATATGATATGCACCTGTGTGGTGCATATCACTCTAATTTCAGCACCTTTACATTGGTTTCTTTTCCACAACTCTAAATAGCTTTGGTTCACTTTATAACATATCATTTAATTAACTTAAACTTCTCTTTTGCTTCTCACACTTCTACATTTAAGTTTTTGTGATCTCAAACTCCTTTGCTATGTAGAAATGATGGTTTTTGTTCCCTCTCTTTCGTAGAGAATTTGGCCAGCTGGCCTATGAGCTGTTGGACCAGTCCTACAAACATGATGAACAGGTGGCCATGAAACTCTTAACATATGAGCTGGTTAACTGGAGTAACTCCACCTGTCTGAAGCTGGCTGTGGCTGCTAAGCAACGTGACTTTATTGCCCACACCTGCAGCCAGATGTTGCTCACTGACATGTGGATGGGCTGCCTACGGATCGGCAAAAATCCCGGCCTCAAGGTTGTCGTCACACAATATGTTTTCCATTAGGCACCCATAAAAAATATTTCCCAATAATAATAAGAACATCACATACATACTGTATCTTGTAAAAACTATGATCATTTTCTCCTCTAGGTTATTCTGGGGATTGTCTTTCCTCCTCTGATTCTACTGCTTGATTTCCGTCTTGGAGATGATGCATCCTATCATGTACCTGGAAGCAAAGAAGAGGGGAAAGACAAGGATGACGACACAAAATCCAGCAAGGTTCACACTGACCTTGTCCTATCAATTTATTTTAGACATGAGGTTTATATTCCTTTCTTTTTCAAAAGTGAAAAATGATGAGCTGAAACAGAGAGTTTGCTGTTATGTTGTAGGACCCTAATGCTGATGCAACTTCCCGAAAGGGGGATGAAGAGGAAGGTAGCACTAATGTCCGCAAAATCCCAATTGGCAAAAGGTTCTTTGAGTTTTATGATGCGCCCTTCACCAAATTCTGGTTCAACACAGTAAGTTTCCTTCATGTGTGCAAGAAGAATAACATTATGTAGTAAGTAAAGTGTAGTGACTTAAGTTTCATTTTGATGTTTTCTTCTTCCAGATTTGCTATCTGTGCTATTTGATGCTGTACAACTACATAATCCTGGTGAAAATGGAGCGATGGCCCTCTCTGCAAGAGTGGACTGTCATTGCATACATCCTCACACTTGGCTCTGAAAAAATCAGACAGGTACAAGCCATTTAATATGATCATTTTGATCCAATCCATTTTATGTGTTAAACATATTTTGTGGTATCTGCATGACTTTTAAACCCTGGTGTCTAGATTCTGATGTCAGAGCCGGGGAAGCTGAAACAGAAGATAAGTGTGTGGCTGGAGGAGTACTGGAACATCACAGACCTGGCTGCCATTTCTACCTTCCTTCTTGGGCTAATGCTGCGGCTGCAGAATGAACCTTATATGGGCTATGGCAGAGTCATCTACTGTATTGACATCATCTTCTGGTACATTCGCATATTGGACATCTTTGGAGTCAACAAGTATCTGGGGCCCTATGTGATGATGATAGGGAAGATGGTAATAACATTCAGTGTTTCACTCTGAGCGTAACAAATCATGTGAACATCATCTGACAGACACGACATGCATACAAATTTATATTTGTTTCTTGTCTTTTAGATGATAGATATGATGTACTTTGTGGTGATCATGCTGGTGGTGCTTATGAGCTTCGGGGTGGCTCGGCAAGCCATCCTTCACCCTGATGAGGAGCCAACATGGCGCCTGGCCAGAAACATTTTCTACATGCCCTATTGGATGATCTATGGAGAGGTTTTTGCGGACTCGATAGACCGTAAGACTAGAATTCATAGTAAGATTCTGTTTCCTGATTCTGGGCAGATGATCAGTGTTATATTCACATCTATTTCTTAAATTATGTGATGTTTAGTAATAATACATTACACAATACTTTGTCTCCCTCTGCTGGCATATTTATAATAGGCTGTTACTTCAATACATGGTAATAATTTTCCATTGAGGAAGAGCACAATAGGTGTAATTATATCATTTCTTAAATCACGATCATCTGCCCTTAAGTTTTTCTCTGTCAACGTTTCTTCTGTCATGGTGAAGGAAAACAAGCAGTATTGAAAAACTAAATTTGCAGGCTAATTAAATATCAATAAACAGTTATTTTCGGAGGACGTTTGTTTTAATATACTGTTGACATTGAAAGCTGCATGTTTGATTCCCTCAATCTTTAAAGCAATTGCTCCACACTCGTTTTAAAAAACAAGACATAAAAATTAGACATAAAGTACAGCAGTTATTTTTAGTGTTTGGTTAATGGCAAGTAGGAGAAAAATGTTGATGATACTAGTCCACTCTTGCATGGACATCAGCTTGACCTTGACAGAAGTATGATATAAAAATCCTATGTTTATTGATTTTAACGCTTTGTCTCAATGTTTCTGTGCAACTGCACTTTTCTGGGAATTTCTCCAAGTCTATGCAATGGAAATCAACCGTGAGTAGTCTTCAAGTCAAGAATGTAATTCAAATCGGTTAGCTACAGATCTAAAAATAATTTCTAGAGCTATAACCTTCTTTTCCTTTACAGCTCCATGTGGTGAACATTTATATGACGAGGATGGGAAGAAACTGCCTCCATGTATCCCTGGTGCCTGGCTTACACCTGCTATCATGGCCTGTTACCTACTCGTGGCAAACATTCTTCTGGTCAACTTGCTCATTGCAGTGTTCAAGTAAGTTTATGCCTCGATGTCTGGTCTAACGGCTGGTCTATTATTTTACAAGAAACATCTATTACGTTACAGTGTGCACTCACTGGTCTTGGTTTCGTGTCCCACAGCAACACTTTCTTTGAGGTCAAGTCCATTTCCAACCAGGTGTGGAAGTTCCAGAGATACCAGCTGATCATGACGTTCCATGACCGTCCCATCCTGCCACCGCCTCTAATCATTTTCAGCCACCTCTACATCCTCTTCAACAGGCTGTTCCGGCGATGTGCCAGGAAGAAACAAGAGGGAGAGCTGGATGAGAAGGATCGCGGACTCAGTAAGTCGCTCAGATACCTTACTAACAGAAAACAAATACAGACAATTTAACTAAATTGCTATTTCACTGGTATTCACATGGGTCTTGTTCAGGTCCCAAGTGGTAAACTTTTGTCTCATCCTGGATAACAAAAAAAGTCACGATTTGTTTGTACCAGAGCTTAGGCTGAATCCAGAGGAGCTGAAAAGTCTGTACGAGTTTGAAGAACAGTGTGTGGAGGAATATTTCCGTGAGAAGGAGGACGAGCAGCAGTCCTCCAGTGATGAACGCATCAAGGTTACCTCAGAAAGGTGAACCCCCTTTTCAAGTGGAGACATTTCTAAGCGTGTTGATTATTGCTTATACTTTTGTTTCTCTGGTGCTCTTTGCAGAGTTGAGAATATGTCCATGCGTCTGGAGGAGGTAAATGAGAGGGAGAACACTATGAAGGCCTCCCTGCAGACGGTGGATCTGCGCCTGGCCCAACTGGAGGAGATCCACGGAAGAATGGCAGTCGCCCTGGAAAAGCTTGCAGGGGTGGACAGACTGGAGCTGACTAGAACCTATTCACGAAACTCCTCTGTGTGTGACCCCTCCTCCCTACTTCGCCAGGGCAGTATTAACAGTGCTGATGGTTACAGTCTTTACCGCTTCCACATGGACATGGAGGAGTTTGCAGCGAAGCCGAAGGATACTGATGAGATAATTAAAACTGGTGTAGAAAGACCAAGGAGTCTGCAGAAAGCCTCCAGTATTTGTACTCTCAACACAAGGGAAGGAGGTCAGACCTTTGAGGTTGGTGGTTTGGAGAGATCGCAACCACCAAGTTCAGGCGTGGACATTCTTATATCTCCATGTGAACAAAAGCCTGCTTCTGCTGAATCAAGTAATGAGACCATAGCTAACATAAAACAAGGAAGCACAATGCTGCTACATAGACTAACAGATAAGGATAGACTAAAGCCTTCTTCCCCTCCAAAAAGGGCCAAATCCTTGAGATACTATCCAGCCGAAGACCAACCCACCTCTCCTTTGACAAAGAGAAGGGCCATGAGCACCATCGTTATCAGCCCGCCTGATGAACCAGAGGAAGGAGCTGAACCCACACAGAAGGGCCTGCTGCCACAAAGAACCTCCTCTTCCCCAAAGAGGACTAAATCTTTGCGATATCTTCCTACTGAAAGCCAGACTTCCCATGTCACAAGGGAGAGAGCTATGAGCAGCATCATCTACAAACCTGCCGAGGCAGATGATGACGTGGCGCAAACTGCAGACTACAGATCAGTGGTGGAGCAGGCTACTAAAACACCAAATCAGTGGCCAGCAAACTTGGAGTACCAGGTGCACCCCAGCACTACTGGCCACATGCCTAAAGTCTCAACAGTCAGAATGCTTGCCCAGCAGATTCAAAGTAGCATTGCACCTGCAGAATGTGAAAAGGAGGACGATCAGACTGACCATATTCCTTTAGAAAGTAAGGGAGCTCTTCCAGTAACAGAGCCAATGGGAGACCAAACAAAGACGAAGGCCAAGAGAAACCTCTCTGACACTACTGAGTATCTGAGTGTAGCTGATGAAAAGTATTTGCCGTCCCACAGGTCACACAGTTGGAATGAAAGCGAAAGGAAAGCAAAGTGCTCGATGGGTAGCAAGGAGCCGAGAACCTCTAGCAGTGAGAGAGACCTTGTTGAAGCCTGCAGGTTGGCAGAGGAGGGTGTGGGAAAGAAGATGGCGGCTAAGAAGAGACAAGATCCACAGGAAAAGAAATAAAAGCCACAGAGAGAGGGGACCGATGAAAGCATCCACAGAGAACAAGAAAACAGAATGAAAAAAATATATATTTAGAAGCGGAACTGAATGCTACCAGTCAGTCAGAGAACTATGAACTTTGAGGTAGCCTGCCACTGACTGAAGATCACCACTGACTGAGTTCATGGATGACAAAATAATGATACAAATAGAATGACAGTGTTTAAAATAACCAAACTCTTTTTTCAGATTTTCAGTCATACAGTTAAAGCTAGGGTAGGCAATTTGTTTCAGAAGCATTTTTTGTTATATTTGTTGAAATTCTTTTCACATCCTGACAATAAATCAATAAAGTAAATGCTCTGACACAAATGTGAAAAAATCTGGTATCTGTGGCTGTCTGTAACTAGCACTGACAATCATTTCATTCTGTCCAAATTAAATTATTAGCTGGCTTACCTGCCTGTATACCTGGCAGGTAGGCCGATGTGTTTTGGGTGAGCGGCTCTGGAAGGAGGCCAGAAGGGAGGGGTTGGAATTATTTCAGATACTTTTGAAATCTAGCTGTCTCTTGATTTTTTCTCCAATGTTGCCTACCCATAGCTTTAATGTTGGTTGTCAGTGCAGAGTAGTGAAAATCACCAGAACTCTCTCTTTTAAAGATCCACTTTCTTTACTGTCTTTACTTTTCACATACAGCAGCTTTTAATCGTTCACATTACAGCTTTCCCCTGCATGTTGCATGTGTCTGCATATTGATTTGCATGCTGGAGATGTAATGGAAACCTACAGTTTAAAGTGAAAATAAAGTATATACACAACGGACAGTTGTACTGACATATAGACTATGTGAACAGCAAAAACACAAACTTCCTATATATGATTCACACTTTTAAATACTGTCTGTAAACATTTTCTTTTCAGATACTGTAACATGTGCTTAATAATGACCCACTCAGAAGTATCCCTACAGCTTTCATGCAAATACTGACAATCGCATAACATTATGTAGTAAGTACAGCTCACAAGAAACAACCAACCTTTCACATTTTCATTTTGACACAGAAATCTGTATGAATAAAGGTTTCAATAAAAATAATAAAAATTACATGAGAATACAGTCGGTTATATTTCTACATGTTTCTGTCTTTTCTATCACAATCCTGTGACTCCTTCTAGGCACAAATAGAAATGATGACAGTGCAATAGTAGACTATAGGCCTATTAATTTACAGTATATGAATTTACACAAATACAATCAATGCTGAGACTTGATGGCATTATAATAGTAAATATGACAATAAGTAGTGTGTATAAAACAATGCTACAGTTTATGAAAGAACTTTTTCATTTTTTCTCCAGTTATAAGACAACTATATGTAACTTAGATATTCTCATGAATTCCTACAGAGGTATCAAAAAAGCCAACAGTATCACTGCCTCCTGTGAGCAGAAACTGTACGGCCAGATCCGAACCAGTGCTGGCGATTATGCACAAGTCTTTCACATGAGCAGATAAACATTATCAGGCCTCATTCCTGGTTGATCCTCTTCTAGTCAGCAGATCAGGACGGCATCCCAACCACTCACGAACCTGTGAGCTTCAGATGGCAGTAAGGCCCTCTCAATATGACCACTGCTGCCACAGCTACAGGGAAGCTCGGGAGGCAAGAAACTTCCAAAACAGCAAAGTCTCACTAGGACTGCGAACAATGAGCAGCCTAGAGGAGCGAACACTTGAAGAATTTTATTCTCTTCGACTTTTTCTCTGTGATCTTCACTGGTTTGCCTGTTCCTCCGGCATTATTGTCTGTCTAGCAAGGAAAATATATATTAGTGGAGGAATGTGATGAATACAGTATTATATGTTTAGTTTCATCAGTGGGGACCTGGGGGGAACATTAAGTCAAAAGAAAAAATTTAATGTAATTTCTTGAATTTTTATTCATATCAATCTAGCAAATAAACATGATTATAAAATTGGTTATTAGGCTTTCTAAAAATTTATATTTAGTAGTTACATACTATACTATACTATACATAAAGTAATAGTCAGTTAAACGACAATTAAACATTCGATTTTATTAATAGAGAACTCATATTTTATGACAAATATTGAGTAAGCATATGTACAATAAAAACAGTGTTGTACTGCCTTCTGTTTGAATGATGTTCAATTATTACAAGCTTGTAGGAGAATTTTGACTATAAACAAAAATATTTATTCAATATTTTTTTATTCTTAAATAAAAGGGCAGAGGAGTTTAAAGAAGTCCATGTTGCAGTCCTTCTCTCAGGCTGCACATACAAATATCCACCTATCACTGGGGAGGGCAGTAGCCGCTTTGTAGCCTGAGAGGCAAAGAAAAGGGCAAATAAAGTCTGCAACACACTTGCTACTTTTAAGTCCAATCCTCTCCTCTCTCTCATCTGAAAACTGGTAGCTAGACATTAAAAAGACTGTTTCAGTGACAAAAGTGAAACTGTAAAAGTGGGGGAGAAGAGAAATCATAATATACGTAATCAAAACCCTCATCCCAAGTGGAAATTACGCCCCTTGGCATTTATTATAAGAAGCTCTTAAAAACTTACTGTCTTTGAGCTCAGATTATGTAATATGTCTCTTCCCATGGTATAAAAAGCCTAGAATGAATGACAAAAATAAAACAAAATGTTTAATGTGAAACATGTTTATCTGTCATGTTTACAGAGTTACAAAAATTTGCTTACCTCTTCTACCATTAAGCTAGACTTTGCACTGGTTTCCAAGAACTTAACTCCATAATCAATAGCCAGCTACATGAGATAAAAATACAATGCTAGTATCAATCAGTGCAAATCAGAAAAGTGCACACAGCATATAAATTTGTTTGAGACTATGTTATAGGAATGACTGTCTGCAGATACTCACTTTTTCTCCTCTGTCTTTAGACACCTGTCTCCTGTCAGTCATATCACATTTGTTACCCAGGATCATCTTCTCCACATCAGACGAGGCATGCTGGGAGAAGTTAAATGACTCATTATGCAAAGTGCGCGTATGAAACTATCAGTACACTGCACACAATTTTAAACAGCAATTTCTACCAAGTATAAATTATGCTAAAATATTAGTTTATCTATTAGTACAAGTTTCAATTCAGAACTCACCTCTTCAATATTTCTAATCCAGTTTTTTATGTTTTCAAAAGACTTCTCATTGCAGATGTCATAGACCAACATTATGCCCTGCAAAGAAAAACATGCATCCTCACCAACAAAATCTCAAACGATGTGATATGTAAGATAAACCCATAGGGAAGAAGTGTAGGATGAAGCGCAGACTTACCATTGCTCCCCTGTAGTAAGCTGTAGTGATGGTGCGGAACCTCTCTTGCCCTGCAGTATCCCTGAAAACACCAAATCAACTTCAGTGGTAAACAGGGTTGGTGATGGCACAATGGATAAGACACAAGCCTTTGGTGTGCGAGACCCGGGTCCAATCACCCACTGTGACCCATCCACCAATGTGTCCCTGAGCAAGACACTTAACCCCTCGTTGCTCCAGAGGCGAGCGACCTCTGACATGTATAGCAATTGTAAGTCACTTTGGATAAAAGCGTCAGCTAAATGAATAAATGTAAACAGACAGTCACACACACAGAAAGCCTACTCAAAATGCACTCACCAAATTTGAAGTTTGACTCTCTTTCCGTCCAGCTCTATTGTTCTGATTTTGAAGTCTATTCCTGCATTTGAATAAACAGACACATATTGAACGGTATAGGCTGATGCTTACTGCGTTGATTAGTTGATGTTATAATATAATTTTTTTCTCTCAGATGTCTAAGATGCACCGCAAACCAGGCACTTTTGCCATGAGTATAACTTTTTTTATGGACTGTTAAACCTATGTCAAGTTGTAGGACGACATCATTCAATGTCACAACAAAACAAGCTGCAGTGGTATACTGTAGCGCTTTATGGATGATATAACAATATTTTAGCTATTCTGAGTGGAACATAAGAGGCTTCACATTTCAATAAGTTTTCCAAAGGTAGAACATCAAAACTATAGTTTTGATCTCATTCTAAATTTAACCTTACTGGTGTCTATCAGGAAAGGAGATCATTATCATTTGTGTCTCAGTCCCATTGTCTTGCGCTTTTGCAGTTAGTCCCCTTTTGCCATTGTCTGCAAAATATAATAAATTCATCACTACCCTATAATAGGTTAAATGTATTACTACACTATATATTGACGACCACTAGTGCAATGCACTAAAGCACTGTATTCAGCTGATATGGGCATTATGTCAGATTTAGGGGCGGCTGCAGGGTACTCACCTATTGTGGATATGAAGGTGGTATTGAAGGAGTCCTCGCTGAATCTGAACAACAGACATGTCTTGCCGACTCCGCTGTCTCCGATGAGCAACAACTTGAAGAGATAATCGTAGGTTTTCGCCATTTAAACACTGTAGACGTAGACAACGTTTCGACAATGTAGGGCCGTACAGAGCTGGGAGCCCTAGTCTAGAAATCGTCAGCTGTCTGTGGCAGACCGGTGCCGTGATGGGTGACGTCACTTTCTGCTTTGCATTATGGTCTATGTAGTTTAAAAGGACAAAGTGTCAACAGACAGGTTACGCTTTGTGATAAAAATAAGATTATGAGGTGACAGCAATTTTACCATATAACTATGGGATTCTGATTCTTATTAGTCTATAGCTACAGTAATAAAAAAAGCCCTACACCTATACAGTCTATGGCCTAACCTACATAAACATAAATCTGGTGTTTTTTGCTCCTGTTTTTTCATTAAAATGCCCTCATGTAGCCTACATTTAGTTCATGCTTTTATGTGTCCAAAAGGGTTTGCCTTTTGCTTGGGGTGAACAAAATGTACTATTATTTTGATTTTACAAAATGTTATAAAATATACAGTCTATGAAAATATCATGAAAATAAATTAGAATCTCTGTATCTGCTACAAACCATAATATGTCAATTCCATCGTCACCAAGACTATTTACTTGGCCAAAATCCCAACTTTTTACTAAGTTCCACTCAAAGCCGTTGTACCTACACCGTTTTTAACATATCCTGTTGACAAGATTCAGTGATATCCATCCCCCCTGCTCCAGTTCCTGCCACTGCACAGCTTGTTTCTGTCCAGTCAGCCCGTATGCTTAGGAAAGCCAGCACAGTACGGTGAAAATGCCTGTAAGTTACAGTTTCTTGTGGTCATTTGTTTTTTTATTAGTTAATATTAAAGTGTTATCAGCTGCCTTTTATTGTCGAGTTCCCACCGTGTGTTGTTGACGTGTAGCAGCAGCACATGGAGTTAAAGTTAGCTAACATAGCCCCGTCTAGCATGGGTGGCGACTACTTGCTGAAACGCAACGGTACCAAATGAGAATGCGATGTCACATGTGGTGGAGTAATTTCAATACATTTAACTTACGTTACTTGTATAGAAAAACTACAGTGTGACATTATTTATGATTTTCCATCGTTCATGCGAAAACGATATCTAACTTAAAGACAACGTCTGTCTGTAACAGATAACGTAAGATTTAAAATAATAACAAACGAGTACTTACATGGTTTACCACAGGAGTAGCGTTGTAATTATTAAAGTGTATGTGAGATCAGAAAAATAATGTTCGCTTGATATAGTACGAATAATTTAAAACCATTGTTGCATGAACTTGTTTTACTGGCTCAGGTCTACTTAGAACTGTGTCAAAATAAATGTATTTGTTTTTTTTTATTCTAGTTGGCCAGAGACCTCCTCCACCCTTCTATTGAGCACGAGAGAAGACAACATAAAAAGAAAAGACTTGTCCAGAGTCCTAACTCTTACTTTATGGACGTCAAGTGCCCAGGTATTTCAGTAACTGTAGAGTAGATTTAACTCCTCCTGGACGTGTGATAACATTACATGCATAAAAAACATTATATGCTGTGATGGTTTGATGAAGTGGTTTTAGGCCATTTGTTTGGTCACATATAGGCCCATTACTCATGCCATGTTTGTTGCAGTGGTTAAGCAATCTTTTACATTACGTAGGCTACATGGCATTCATGAAAACGTAATTTAAGTGCATTTTTTAAAGATACTATTTGTAAAGTACACGTAGCAAGATTCATTCTCTGCATTTAAAACATCCCTGAAGGGAGCAGTGGCCAGGGTATGTATTTACAATACATGTTGGACCAATGTTTTTTTTTTAGTTTAACACTTTCTTCACAGGCTGCTACAAGATCACCACCGTGTTTAGCCATGCACAGACAGTGGTGCTCTGCGTGGGATGCTCAACTGTGTTGTGCCAGTCAAAGGGAGGAAAAGCCAGACTGACAGAGGGTAAAACATCCACACACACAAAAAAAAACTATTTTAATTTTATGCAAAGGAGCACCACCTTATGCTATACATATACTTCAGTTCAAGTTGAAGGCCATCTAATTTTTAATTTTTCCCTTTTACAGGTTGCTCTTTCAGGAGGAAGCAACATTAAACAGATTGTACACGTTATGTCTGTAATTAGGCCATGCTGTTCATTTCCATGGATTACAATTTAGTTGTACATTCACTGACAGGTTCTGTCAATGTACATATGTCCAACTTATGATAAATTTATAGACCAGCAACAATTTTAAATATGCAAGATACTTCAAGTAAAATCTCATCAAGTAAATAAAGAAAAATGTAAGTTGAAGCATTTGTGAGACCTTTATTGAGAAAAATGTTTTTCATGACTGAAATTACCTTCACAGAAAGTATACGAAGTTGGCCTTTCTGAATGAAAAGGAAAAATATGTGCCACAGATTTCTTAGGAAACATGTACATTTAAAAAGATGTGGATCTTAAATAGAACATATTAAAACAGCAACACCAAAGTAACAGTTTTGATAACTTAGGGAAAACAAGTAAAATGTGAAATAAGTAATCCACTTGAAGGTCCCAGCAGAGTCGACAGAAAAAAATGGCACTGGCAACAGTTTTAACTTAATGTTACAAATCTACAGTGCCTAAAGGCATGTCTGTCACAGAAAAAAGTACAAAAAAAAAAAAAGCATCCAAATAAAACACCCATTTAACTACACACAACATATTTTTATTAGACATTGATTACTGCGTCTGACATTGCACTCCACTTCTTGGACCCTCCTCGTCTTCCTCATAAACCTCTCGACTGTAGTTTTTCCGTTCTGACCGCACATCCACCTCACAGAGTTCCACCTCCTCCATGTCGTCAGTCAACATCACATCCTCCCTGGGAGGAAGCAGTCTTTCCAGCTGGAACATGAGATGCTCTGGGAGCCAGCCTTTATCTGGGAATTCCACCTGAGAATCGATGAATTGCAGTTAGTGTTTGCTACAACAAAGAAACTGACAAGAGACCTTAATCCAGGTGAAATGTTGTGTTCAGAGTACTTACATCGAACTGAATGATGAGCTGTCCCTTTTCGTAAGGATCCCTGTAAATGGGCATGCCCTCATTCTGAACACATTTGATGTCACCATGCTTGATTACTTGGCCTGTTCATAAAAGATGTTGATGAAATTTGAATTAAGAATATTGTTTACCGAAAAACCAAACAAGCACTGAAAACCAGCTGATCTCAGTTACCTGGCTTTGAGGTGATGATGAGTGCTCTGTGGTCTAATGTTTGAATGGTCTTTCTGAACCCACACAGGGCCTCAACAAGTTTGATTTTCATCTTCATTATCAAATTGTCATCTTGCCTCTGGAAAACTGGGTGGTCCTTCTGATCCAACACAATGATTACATCCCCTGGTTCCAGTCCAGGTTCCTGGTCACCTTCTCCACTGAATGTAATTTTCTGACCATCTTTCATACCTGCAGAACACATTTATCTTCAGTTTACATGATATTCACACCAGCTACAACTTTTATTTCTTTATTTAAGGGGGGGGGGGTGACATACCTTTGTCGATGTGAACTTCAAGAATTTTCTTCTTGCGTTCTACTTTGTGCCCATTGCAGTTCTTGCAGCGGTCCTTTGAGTTGAATTTCTCGCCCTGACCGTGGCAGTCTCCACACATGCTTTGGATCTGCTGAATCATGCCTGGCCCAATCTGTTGCACCTTAATTTGTACTCCTTTTCCTTTGCAACTTGAGCACTTCTCCAAGGCACCTTTCTTCCCACCATAACCTGTAATAAACTAGATAATGTAAGTCACTGGACTTTCGAACACTTTATTGTAGATGCATTTAAAAAAAAACTAATAAAACTACCAAACACAACATACCATCACATTTTTCACAAATTACATTCTTTTGAAGTCCAAGCTTCCTGGTGGCTCCCATGTACATCTCCTCAAGCGAAACACTAAGTTGGTGGACAACATTCTTTCCTACAGGAAAAGATGATACGTATAAGTTTAAACATTATACAAGCTATAGGCATGTCAATCTAAACTTAACAGCCTGCTGCTAGTTCAGCTCTTAAATATATATATATATATATATATATTTTTCTTTCTTTCTTTCTTTCTCTTACCCCTTCTCTCTCTGTGCATCCTTCCCCCACCTCCGAAGAACATGTTGAACACATCCATTGGGGAAGTTCCTCCGCCCATGCCTCCCTCTTTCATTGCCTGTTCTCCTCCTTGGTCATACAAGTCTCTCTTTTGTGGATCTGACAGCACCTCATATGCTTGAGATATATGCTTGAACTGTGAAAAAACCCCCAGATGTTTTTGGAAAAAAACGACTGCATTTAAAGCTTTTTATAAATAATGGATCACTCAATTATCTAGGCTGTGGTAATGAGTTGCATGTTTCCAGGATTACTTGATATCAGTTTTCAGCATATATATATATATATATACACATACTCACACATTTTATTTTTGCGGTACTCAAAAGGTACTTATTTTCTGAATATTCATCTGTAATATGTCAATGTTATTTCAAAATACATCAGCTAAATGAGCCACTGAGTGTGAAGATATAGTCTACAGGGACAGTGAAAGACCATTTTATTTTAAACATTAGTTTCACAACCTCCTGACATTGTAGCCTGAAGCATTTCAACACAGTGGCATGCGGGTTAATCTTCCTGTACCTAATCATACAGAAGCTGCGACTAGCTCATTCCAGAAAGTTCCTGCTGTGAATTCAACAAGGCGTGCAGTTTAAAATTAGACAGGGCACTTCCAACGGTCTATAAACGGCTACAGGGACGCCAAAAAGGCCCTAAAGCTAAATGCAACTCACCTTCTCTCCTTCATTGGGGTTCTTGTCAGGGTGATATTTCAGTGCGAGTTTTCTGTAAGCTTTTTTGATTTCCTCCGATGAGGCGTTGGGTCTGACGCCCAAGAGATCGTAGTAGCCGGTCTCGTGAACCATGGTGATAACCTAAAACGTTCAACGAAATAAACCAGAAACGTGTTATACCACTTATTATTTTGTATTTTTCTAAGATGTGTTAATGTTAGCATCCAATTATATCGTTATCGAAGTAGCAACATGTCAAAAATCTATATAAACATTAGCTAATATCGCCCAACAACACAGTCCACATTAACAAAATCCACCGCTAAACTTAAGCTTAAAGACGTTAAATATAACGTTAACCCAAGTCTACAATACAGTAACGTATGCTGCAGACAGATAACGCGAATAAACGTTAACAGAGGCAGCACATGTGGGCAACTGTTAACATGTCAAGTTAAAGCTTGAATGAAACCGCCGACATTTATGAGCCGTATAGCTATATATCCTTTAAAAAATATAAAGTAGCCTAACGTTCCTTACTTGCCAGGCGTTGTTACTACGGTCGCTTTCGCTCGAGTGTTACTGAGGCTGCTGAAGGAAGATGGCTGGTTCTTATATATGGATCGCCGCTACAGTGCAGAACTTTCTGGAGAGCTCTGAGAAGAGGGGGGCTGGGACTGCAGAGTCTAGAAAAGACCTGAGCTGAGGCAAAAAAAAAAAAAAAAAGAAGAGGGCTAGAGAGGGAGGCATGTTTAAGGTTGCCAGACCAGCTTGTTATATATGTTGACCCAGTCTACATTAGCTTGGTTTGGTATGGTGCTGATAAAAGTACAGTGGGTTAAGCCATTTTGGAAGAATTAGTTTACCAAAATAGGCTATTTTACTTTTAAGTAAAAGCACTGGTGCAACAGTGTAGAAATACTCTGTTACAAGTAAAATTCCTGCATCCAAAATTTAACTTGAGTAGAGGTACAAAAGTAGCCTACTTACAGCCGATTTTAGGCTATATAATTGGAGTATAATTATCGATGCATTAATAAGTATGTTTTTAATGTTGCAGCTGGTTAACTTTCTGATAAGTTTAACTACTTTGTACACCGCTGTGTAGCTTAATAATAAGACATTAAAATTCATTTGTTAACTACATTTTGTGTTAAAATGAATCTAGAAAATAAGCTAACAATTAGTCTAAATGAATGTAGTGGAGGAAAAGGTTCACCATTTTCCTCTGAAATGGAGTGAAGTATAAGTAAATAGCATTAAAAAAATACTGAAGTAAAGTAGAATTAACTCAAAATTTAAGTATTTGAGCAAATGTATTTATTACATTCCACCACTAGGGTAAAGGGTTCTAAAAGCATTTCATGTGAAACATCCACTTTGAACTAAAGTCAAAGGCCCAATTTAAAAAAAAATCAGTTGCATATCAGAAGTCTGTCTGATAGTAAATTAGGATGGACTACAATCATTATCTGCCAGGACCTCAAGTGGGATCTGAACATCACCTCCCTCACCAAAAAGACCCAGCCGAGGATGTACTTGGTGATTGGCTGCAATCTTCCATCACTTCAGGACCTGTACTGTACGCCTCCAGGTCTCTGAGGCGAGCAGAAAAGATTGCAGCTGACTTCTCCCACCCTGGACACAAACTGTTTCAGACTCTCCCCTCTGGCAGGAGGCCGCGGTCCATCAAGACCAAAAGCTCTTGCCAGAAAAACAGCTTCTTCCCAACTGCAGCTAACCTCATCAACAAGGCCCGGGTCCCTCACTGATGCTCCCCTCTTTCAAATCCTACAAATGTCTCTGTACATTTAAATATTATTTCATTTCATATCATGCACAAACCTGGCACTTTGCACATATTTGTTGTTAATTGTTAATTGTTGTTGTTTTATTGTCATTTTTATTTTTTTATATTGTCAATTTATGTATTTATGTTCACAATATTATCTTCCATTGCAATACGTCTGCACAACACATACCGGAGTAATGCACATGTAAATATCTGCCACATTGTTCTTTCTCTACAAAGAGTTGTATTATTCTTATATAACTTGCATTTATTTTTTCCATATTTATATATTTCTACATCTGTTTATGTCAACTGTACGCTTGTGCTACGTGTAGCACCTTATCACCAAAGCAATATCCTTGTATGTGTAAAATACTACTTGGCAATAAAGTTCCTTCTGATTCTGATTCTTATAACTGAATTAGTGCAAGTAAACTAATCCTGCTTTTACAGAAGACTCTTGGCAACCTATGCTGTTACATAACAACCAGAATTATTGCACACTAAATGATTGCAATGATGACTGTATAAGTAAACATTTTAACAGCTGCAGATGTTGCCTTGACTAGCTAAAGACCACAGGATTTTAAGTAGCCTATTTAAAGGAACTCTAAAATGATTAAATGAAGTATTAAAGCTCTGTGCAACTTTTTGAATGAACTGAGCTTGTCTAGTGTAGGAGCCACATACAAACCCAATTGATCAACCTTTGGAATACTAACTCAAATAATAGGTTAGATCATAGTTTCCACCCAACTCACCTTGGTCAAAGTTGAAAGTGTTGTATTGTTATGAGATAAGTTTTACCTTTCTGTGTGTGATTTAGGGGAAGATAATAATCTGATTTACATATGAGAAGACTGTGCTCATTTAAATTCAGGACATGGTCTTGAGTGAGAGGTCCAATCCACTGCACACATGGACTTTCTGATTCGTTTCTCAACCATTAATGGCTTCATAAGGCTTGTGAAACTGCACTTTTAATTTACTTGTTCTTGAAAACTAGATGTGTATGCCAATCAGATTTTGAAAAGCGTCTACTTTGAGCAAATCCAGAGACTTGGTTCTACATAACCTGTAGCCACACTACCAGGACATCTATCAACTAACAGTATGGAATTTCCTAATGAAGAGAAGGGAGATGATCAACTTGAGAACAGGTAAGCAACATAAAATTAACTTTTCTGTTCCTTTAATCTAGAGGATTAGGAAATGGTATAGTATCATCAGACTACAGTAATGCTCTTACTACTTTTCAGTTAAGGTCGAATGAACCAGATTCACCAGTTTGCATGCAAATTCACTACAGTACAAAATTATTGATGTGTGATGACTGTTGGATTTTGTCACTGACCACCACTTTTGTTTGTCTGTATTCTTTAGAGTATCAACGCTTTTGCCCAAGTTGTTGAATGAATGTTCCTGTCCGCTTTGTATTAAAATGGCCTTCTGCCACCACATTATGAGTATAGATAAAGAATGGAAGTCCCATTTAGTAGTTCTAACCCCATAACATTTACTTCCACATTATTTGGTTAAGTCAAAGACAATATACATCAAAATAATAGTTTTAATGAGTGACAGCGAACAGTCTTTCAGCTTTCATTGAATATATTCTGGCAAACAAAGCATGGGGGCTTTAGCTGTGCCAAAAGCCTGACATTGTGTTGGGTAAACAATGCAGCAAATTAAACCCATGTGATGGAATGAACAGCAGCCCCAAAGTTTGCCACAATGTGAGGTGGAGTGTATACAAGCTATTTGGAGCCCATGTTTCCTCTGTGTGTTTCAGTGTTCAGGAGTCTATGGCGCATGAGCAGACAGATATCGAAGAACATGCCTCTGTAGGTGAGTTATGAGCACATGGGTCTGGGTCTAATACCAGCAGGGTAACAGACGGGGCTTTTATTCCTCTTTTGGAGGGACAAGATTTATTTTTCAGATTTTCTTCCTCTCACATCTCAGGAAAGAAAAACATAGAAGAGGAGTGGGCTGGCGCACCTCTTGCTCCAGCTGATTCTCTTTGGACCACTGATGCTAAAGGCTCAGTAAGACTGAGAATAGACGAAGGGTGTCCAGAGGAACCTGTCACAGTTCACCAAATGTTCAAAGTCTCAGTTGAAAAATATGGAAACATGTATGCACTCGCCAGCAAGAAGAACAACAAATGGGAAAAGATAACTTTCTTGGAGTATTATCAATTCTGCCGGAGAGCAGCCAAGAGCTTTATAAAGGTATGTCATACAGATAGAGAAATTAATGTCTACAGTACATACTAAATGACAACTTTTGAGTGTTATCAGTGGTCAAATTTGTAAAAAAGAAAAGACAAAAAATTTCTGTTAATGTGTGCAGCTTGGTTTAGAGCGATTCCATGGAGTGGGAATACTAGGATTCAATTCCGCAGAATGGTTCTTCTCTGCAGTCGGTGCCATCATGGCAGGGTGAGAAAGAAACATCCTACAGCAACAACAAACAGACTTGCATTACACTAAGCACTGACCTGAATCAACCTGTAACCCCAAAATACTGTATAGTCCTTAATGTGCTCATTATTTCATCTGTACATGCTCCTGTTGCAATGACACATTCACTTCTTTCTTTCCCCATTTCTATAATGACATGTATTCTTCCTATAGGGGGATAGTGGCTGGCATTTATGCCACAAACTCACCAGAAGCATGTCAGTATGTGGCTAGTGACTCCAAAGCCAACATTATTGTGGTGGAAAACCAAAAGCAATTGGACAAAATCCTGCAGGTAACATTACTTAAATATAGGACTTAAAAATAAGGTCTTTACCCACATGCAAAACATGCTGTGGTAAATTTCTCACTCTTGATACCATAGATACGTGACAGACTGCCCCATCTGAAAGCCATAGTGCAGTACAGTGGAAACCCCCAGCAGAAGATCTCTGAACTTTACTCTGTAAGGCCTTCTGACAACATTTAAAATGATACAGGTCAAAGAGACTATAGAGCTCAGGCTACGATGCTGTATGTTTTTGGTTTGTGACAGTGGGAGGAGTTCATGCAGCTGGGTCTAGATGTTTCTGAGGAAGAACTGGATGACCTCATCTGCAGCCAGAGAGCCAACCAATGCTGCGTCCTGATCTACACCTCTGGCACCACAGGCAGACCAAAGGGAGTCATGCTCAGTCATGACAATGTAAGCTTTCGTGTGACTATTGTTAGTCTGTGCTTAGTCAGATTCAACTTCATGTTATTATGCAAGCAGTTGCATGTATTATAGCTTCTTGTCACATTGTTACATGGTGGGCAAAAACAGAAAAAAGTAAACAAGGCGTCTGTCTGAATCTATGACGAATATTCAGATCACATGGACTGCCAATCATGCCAGCAGGGCTGGCAACATGCAGCCGGCCGACACCAAACAGGAGTCACTGGTGAGCTACTTGCCTCTGAGCCACATCGCCGCTCAGATCTATGATCTCTGGACAGGCATCCAGTGGGGTGAGCTGGTATACTTCGCACAGCCAGATGCCTTAAAGGTAAAAAATATGCAAAGCGGAAATAATGTGTTTAAGAACAAGCACTTTTTCATCAAACTTTCATTAAATTTAAGGTAAAAGCAATGAGCTAAGGCTCTACCGTGGTTACAACTAACAGACCTTCCAAAATGAAGTGCTGACAAATATTTGTTGTTGCTTAAATAAATAATACTAAAATAAAAACAAACTTTTAGCTGTCCAAGATGAATAATGTACTCAATAAACATTGACAACTGACTGATTTAACGTATGTGTTTTTAAACTCTTTATGTACTGGATTTGTTGTAGGGAAGCCTGATAACAACACTGCGAGAAGTTTGTCCTACATCCCATATGGGTGTCCCGCGGGTATGGGAGAAGATGATGGAGAAGATAAAACAGGGAATTAGTGAGTGTGGATATGTGAAAAAGAAACTGGTGACATGGGCAATGTCAGTCAGTTTGGAAGCCAATCAAAAGTATATGCAGAAGTAAGTGCAGATGAAGCTTGAATTTTGGGAATAATTCTTATGTGATATGAATACATTTGGGGATATAAATGGCCCCATGAGACAACACAGAACGTATGTGATCAATCAAAGAGAGGTGATTTCATTATATTGATATTTCACTTCTTTGTATTTTTTTAGGGATGAAGAGAAACCTTTCCTCTTTTTTCTGGCTGACAGTTTTGTGCTGCAGAAGATTCGGGCTGAGCTGGGCCTGTCTTGCTGTCAGAAGTTCTTCTCTGGAGCAGCACCAATCGGTAGTGAGACGATGCAGTTTTTCCTGGGCCTGAATATCAGGCTGTATGAGGTATATGGCATGAGTGAGAGCACAGGGCCCCACTTTATGTCAAGTCCCAAAGCTTACAAACTACCAAGGTAAAAATTTAGGATTGTCAAAATGATATGTAAAATCTGTGCTTTGAATTTGAATTTTATGAACATAAAATAACAGGAAGAATTATTTTCTCTGACAAAGCTGTGGCAAGGTGGTGCCTGGCTGTCGATACAAAATGGCCAACATAGACTCTGATGGGACAGGTGAAATATGCTTTTGGGGACGTAACATTTTCATGGGTTTCCTCAATGTGGAAGACAAGACAAGAGAAGCTTTGGATGAAGATGGATTTCTGCATTCTGGAGACCTTGGGAAGATAGATGAAGAGGGGTTCTTGTACATCACAGGGAGAATAAAAGGTAGAGCTATGTAAGGCTATTGTGAGAAAATTGCTTGTCTTGCATCACCATTTCACAATCTGTACATTACCCACACATGAGCGCATGTTGTTCTGGACAGAATTTAGGGCTCCTTTATCCTTGTAATGAGTCATAAACAGCTGTAATGTCAGAGTACACCCTCTTTCTTCATTCAGAGTTGATCATCACTGCTGGAGGTGAGAATATTCCACCTCTTCCCATAGAGGAAGCAGTGAAGCGGGAGCTACCTATCATCAGCAATGCCATGCTCATAGGGGACAAGAGGAAATTCTTGTCAATGCTTTTGACCTTAAAGGTAATAATAATAATAATAATAATAATAATACATTTTATTTCTAAAGCGCTTTTCAGGACACTCAAAGACACTTTAGAGGTAAAAGCAGAAGTTATGTACATTTAAAACCGATTAAAAACATAAATAGCATAATATAAAATATACAAACAGTAGATAAAAACAAGTGGCGACCATATAAATAACAAAATAACAAACAGCAGCAGGTGTAATATAATATTATCTGATGTTATAAGCTAATCTAAAAAGGTGGGTTTTGATAAGTGATTTGAAAGAGTCCATGTCGCCGCAATCTCGGATGTGTATGGGTAAGGAGTTCCAGAGGGAGGGGGCTGCAATGGTGAAAGCTCTGTCGCCCCAGGTACAGGTCCTGATTTGTGGTGAGAGGAGGTTAGTGTGAGAGGAGTGGAGGTTGCGAGAGGGATTGTGGTGGTGGAGCAGGTCTGTGAGGTAGTAAGGGGTCTTGTTATGGAGGGCTTTATGTGTGAGGAGTCAAGGTGGAGCTGTTGATGGAAAGGCTGAAGTTGTTGATGTTTTTTGTGAGTGATTTGGGGCCGATGATGATCATGTCAGATTTATTGTAATTGAGTTGTAAGAAATTGGTTTGCATCCAGGTTTGTATGTCGGTGAAACAGTTGGTCAGAGTTGCAGAGGTAACTGTGGTGATGGATTTGGTGGAGATGTAGATCTGGACATCACTGGCGTAGCAGTGGAAGTTAATCTGCCATTAGTTTGTGTTCAGATAATAGAAAATGGTATGCTGTACTGTATTCTTGACATCAATCATATCTCATGTAAAGTCATGTTATGGTACTGTGTAACATATGTATCTTTAAAAATAAAAATTTACGGACATAAATAAAAGTTTACACAGCAGCAGCAGTGTAGATAGCAAAGGCAAATATACACTCCCTTTTTTCTTGCTTAAACGCAGCTGCTGTAGTACTGTTTTTATTTAGTGTTCTTAATGTCAAACTCCCTAGAGAGATTTGGTTTCACAAGTTACTACAATTGTTAAATTTCACAACTAATTATAATTTATATGGAAATATATATATATACGATTCCAGGAATTTAATTCTGTGTTCCAGTGTGGTAGCATAACAGAAACCATGGAACCAACAGAGGTGCTGAATTCGGAGGCTGTAGCGTTTTGCCAACAGCTAGGCAGCCAAGCAACTAAAGTGTCTGACATCATTGGAGGAAAAGACAAACAAGTGTACCAGGCAATTCAAGAAGGAATCAACAGAGTCAACTCTGCAGCCACCTCTAATGCCCAACGCATACAAAAGTGGACTATTCTCAGAAAGGACTTTTCCGTTTCTGGAGGAGAGCTGGGTAAATTTAGCAGAACATCGATCAGTAGACAATGTATAAAAATATATCATGCTTTTCATGTTAAAAACCATGCAATTTTTAACCTGTGGCAAACTATTGCTCATTATGTTGCTTTCTTATTCCAGGTCCAACAATGAAGCTTCGTCGCCCAGTCGTGTTGGAGATGTACCACAAGGTCATAGAGAGCTTCTATGAAGAATAGTTTATAGAGAACTGACTAACTGTTAGTATGAAAATCACGTCACTTGCAAATCTCATAATGTTTGAGGACATGCATGGAATATAATTATATCTAGTCTTGTGTATAAAATGCATAAATAATACAGGAACCATTTTAAATTTTTTAATAATATTTAATCCTTGATGACATATCCCACTCCATTAATTTCCTTCTTTTGATATTGATGCCGTCTGGGCGGAGGTTCAGACTTCCTTGTGCACGGAAGTGCTGTTATGAAAAATCCTTTATTCCTCTACCATTGTGCAGCTCAACAGCAGCTAAGGAGAAACATGGATTTACTGTGCTGAGCCAGCATGTAGCACTCTGTATTTAGTATTTCATTTTAAACTGACACTGGTCAACTGTACTGTTCTGTACTGTATTGTATTTCTACATGCACCGTGCATCAGGGAAATTATTGCATTAATGGCCAATACCATTTTGAATCTTAACAGGAAACCAAGACTAGGTTTTGTGAATAATACTTGCTATTACAATACAGAGTCACACCATTTTGATGCATCATGTCATAGACTGAAATATTTGTTTCTCATTTATATTTTTGTCTAGTCAACAATTTATTTTTACTGCTTTAAAATCTTGCTAGTTAGTTGCATGACAGGATCTGACCCTGTATTTTGTGAAAATATTTAGCAGTATTCAGTATATTGTTTATACCACTTCAGAGAAAAACTGTGGCATAATGTAATCACAGGGGTCACAGGAGTTGATCATCATAGCAAATAAGAGTTGTTTGCATAACAATAAATAAAAAGTCTGGCAATTCTGATAGCACTGTAATATTCCTTTTATACATTCATGATATTTGCAGCAAGAAAAACAGTATGACATGAAAAAAAGACTTAGTGCAAAAATATGCCAGTTTGACGTTATGGTAGCCAAATTATGTTGAAATCATAAAAGCCCATCAGAATTTTTTTAAAACATAAATGTGAAATATATTGACAAAACACAATACTTTAGAGTAGAAGCCAAGTTCAGCCAGTAAACAGACAATTAGGAATAGGAATAAAATACATATCACATATACAGTAACTGTTGGTCAAGAGTTTTAAGACAGTGATTTGGAGTGTGCAGTGACAAAAAAATATAACATTCAGGGGCCTCATTACAGAGACTTCCTAAGTCTGAAATCTTATCTCAGTTCAGCATGACATTTAGGATTTTTTATATTACAGAAACATGTTTCCTAACTGGATTTATCTTAGGCTAGGAATTTAGCTATTACAGAAGTGTCCTAACTGCATTATTGCCTAAGAATCCTCAGTTAGGTTGGCATAAGTTCAAAACAACTACCAACAATGCCAGTACCACTGTTGTTAGGTCTGTGTGGCAATTACAATAAAGCTTTTAAACAACATGAACAATTTCAATATATATGAATGAAAGTGGGGCTGGACAATAAAACAATAACAATACGAGGTGGTGATGGCGCAATGGATAAGACGCCTGCCTTTGGTGTGAGAGACCCAGGGTTCAATTCCCCACTGTGACCTCTGACATGTATAGCAAATAAAATTTGGGATAAAAGTGTCAGATAAATGTAAATGCAATAATTATCGTAATATAATTTTGTTCAATAACAATATAACATTCAATAAATGTTTGATTTTATTCACTTAAATTATACATGAACTTATTTTTTTAATTTTGTTGAGGAAAAAGGACTGAAAAAGCTTTTACTTAATTTTACAGATGAATATTTGTTGACAAAGATTTTATCATAATTGTTTTGAATGTTCGGCAGTACTCTTATTCAAATCCTGCACCGATACCTTCTAAGAAACTTTCCAAAAAGGTGGTGTGTCCCCTCCTCTGCTGACTGAGATAGGATATGACACAGCAATGAGTTTAGGAATTGGTTCTGTAATAGAAAAATCATCCTATTTTTCAAACTTAAGTCAAGATAGGACAAGCAGTTAGGCTTTTTTTCTGTAATGAATCTCAAACTCATGAGTTTTTAAAAATAATACATATTTTGGTTTAAAATGTGCAGATACAACATGACATATTGAGATAAAGAGACCTTAACCCTAACAATTAACTCCTGGCCCCTTTAGCATCCTTTTAGTCCATATTCCGCACTCTTTGACATATTGCTTCAGTGAATTCTGAGCACTTGGAGTTTCCTCCTAGGTCTTTTGTTAGAACCTTGAAGACAGACAACAAAAGCATTATGGACTGAAATGGGAACTTTATACCAAAACTGCGAGTCTTCATTTCTTGCAAAGATTACCTGTCTGTCTCGAATGGTGTCAAAGCAAGCAGTCTCAATCTTCTTGGCGTAGTCGTGCAGGCCCATGTGCCGCAGCATCATGACTGCACTGAGCAGCAAGGCGGTGGGGTTGGCCATGTCTTTTCCTGCTATATCTGGGGCAGTTCCATGAACCTGACAGTAGAAATGAATCACAATCCATCATTATGGTTAATATTTATATAAAACCCTAATTTAAAACTTTTATATGTTTGGGTGAATTTCAACTATGAAACTTCTACTTTGATTTATGGGAGTAATTGTGAAACCAGAAAAAGGGGTCTGACTAATGTGAATAAAAAGAACATACCGACTCAAATATGGCAACACCATTGGCACCAATGTTTCCACTAGGGGTCACTCCAAGTCCTCCAATTAGTCCAGCACAAAGATCACTGTAATGGTAAACAGATAAGAGTTAGAAATTCTTGTGCATATATCTTCACCTTGCTAATTAGATTTCATGTACACAGACACAACATTTTGAATTGAAGCAGATAATTTCAGTGCTATTTGACATCCTCACCACAAATCATATGTCATAACATCTTCATATTTAGTGACATTTTCAGACACCTTTTACTATTCACTGGTGTTAAATTATTACAGTACACATTAGTCTAAATACTTTGAATTAAGTTTGAATTTTGTTTGACATTTGTTAAACATTGTTATTTTTTGTTAATACTAGCATTGTACACAATACACAATTTTACACTGACACAATAGTGTGTACAGTACATGAATATACAAACAGAGGATTTTCTGTATTAACAATTGCGTTTTCTGGCACAGTAAATTCTGTTGAAGAAATTGTGTGTAGTAAATAATAACATAGATGTATTTATTTTAATCAAAGACAATATGAAGCACTGAGAATCAGAGAGTAAATAATTAGCGTAATAGGAAGGAGACTGTGAGGTTTAAAGATGCATTCTGAACCCATAGCCTTCATATTCCAGACTTGTACATTACTTTCTGCAAACTCAAGAATAAACTACTTTGTACTAAATGAAGTAGAGAGTTTTGTTCTCCTGTTTCTCATTGTTTGTTCCTATGAACCTAATAGTGTTTTTTTATTAAAAGTTATTGAGGGATGAGCAAGAAGAAAATCAACCACAACAATATGTTGAGATTTGGTCAAATTTAATTATGCACAAAAATAACGGAGAACATGGCATCTTACTGTATTTTACCTCAAGATGTCGCCATACAGATTTGGCATCACTAATACATCAAACTGTGTGGGATCCTGTACCATCTGTTAAAACAGGTATAAATAATGCCACGATTAATTATGAATGTTAAATATGCAAAATATTAAACAAAATATTGCTTCTTATCAAACTAAAACATTTATACACACTAAAAAAAATTCATAGCAAAAACTCTTGGGACTTACATTAAGGCACACAGTATCCAAATACATCTCAGTGAATTTGACATCTTTGTGCTTTTCAGCAGCCTCTCTGCATTTTCGAAGGAAAAGCCCATCTGACATGCGCCTATAAAACAATAAAATAAAAAAAACATCATTTAATTTGATGAAAAAGCTTTAAAATGATAAGTTACTTGAAAGTAATTTGTACTGACTACGACTTACATAATATTGGCCTTGTGAACAGCAGTAACACTGGCCCTCTGATTATTTCTGGCATATTCAAAAGCATACTCTGCAATGCGTTGGCTGGCTTGTTCTGTAATGAGCTTAATACTCTGTACAACTCCATCAACAATCTGAAAATATACAAATCCAAGAAAGATTTTGGTAAAATCTGTAAACTATAGTATTTCAGTAATATCAAAATCAAAGTATTAACAGATTTTATTACTAAATATCAAAACGTGCGTGCTGGGGAATTAAAAAAATACAATGAGACGTTTACATTTATTCATTTAGCTGACGCTTTTATCCAAAGCAACTTACAATTGCTATACATGTCAGAGGTCGCACGCCTCTGGAGCTCTTGCTCAGGGACACAATGGTGGATGGGTCACAGTGGGGGATTGAACCCGGGTCTCTCCCACCAAAGGCATGGTCTTATCCATTGCGCCATCACCACCCCGAGAGATCATTTGAGACATCAAATAAAAACTATAAATTGTAACAACTAGACAAGTAATGTGTTTTTAAAAGGTCTTACCACATGTTCAATCCCACTGTATTCTCCCTCAGTGTTCTCCCTAATGGTGACCAGGTTCACATCAGTGTAGGGAGTCTTGTAGCCCTCCATAGACACACAGGGGCGCACATTGGCATACAGGTCAAAGGTTTTCCTCAGCAGCAGGTTCATAGAGGGATGGCCAGCAGCTATTGGTGTCTTTAAAGGACCTGCAGATTGGTAAGTAATTCAAATTATTTACTAGTTCACCTGCCAACACAAAAAGAAACTATATTAAGGGGATAAGATCTTAACAAATTTGCCATAAATGTAGTGAACAATAATGTACACTTACGTGTTTTTTTCCCCCCTCCAGACAACTCTGCCTCTGATTGGCTAGTATAAATTGCCTCTGCCGATCATGGCTGAGTAGGGGGCAGAACCTGACACAAGCTGGTGCCCATCAAATGAAAGTTGTCGAAAATCTGCTTATTTATAAAAACCTCTTCCCATCAAAATGATGTAATTATTTTATTGGGCCTGTAGGTTCTTAGGTTTGGCGAGTCCAATTTACATCTATAAAACTTTCATAAAAATTCCACTTCCCATTTTTTTACTGCGGGGTAAAGCCACTGGGATAGAGATTTCTAGTCGCTTGAAAAAATATATATGAGCAGATCACCATCAACCATAACTTATTGGTAATTAATCCCATTTTTATTAAAGTAATTTTGAGTGTAGAAAGCAGGTTACCTTTTAGGCCAATTTTGTTCCTGTCCATCGATTCTTTGGCATCAGGAGGGATCATCCACTTGCCACCAGGTCCTTGGATGGCTGTAACATTTCTCTCTTCCCACTGAATAGGTGCCTAGATAAAACACGTATGCACAGCAAAATCCCTACATTAGTTTACAGCATGCCGTTTTTAAGACTTTAAATATGATTCTGATTTGATCTGACTTTTTTTGTTGAGTATCAGTGCTGGATTGATACAAATAAAGTGTTATCTCATGCCATGTGGGGCGGCTGTGGCTCAGGAGATAGAGCGGGTTGTCCGTTAATCGGAAGGTGGCTCAATCCACGGCTCCACCAGGCTGCATGTCAAAGTGTCCTTGGGCAAGATACTGAACCCCGAATTTTCACTGGTGGCTGTTCCACCAGTGTATGAATATGTGTGAATGTTAGTTTCTGTTTGAGAAATTAGGCTCAGTGTATGAATGTGTGTGAATGGTGAATGCGAATGTAAAAGCACTTTGAGTGGTCGAGAAGACTAGAAAGGTGCTATACAATGCGGAACACGTCAAAAATTATTTTGTTTGTTAATGTTCCTGATAATGTTTATTTTTGTTTGTTAATGTTCCTGGTGAACAATGTTATTTTCCAGAACTAACTTTAGCTGCTTCAAATATCTTCATAACAGCAGTGGAGATTTCTGGGCCAATCCCATCGCCAGGGATTAAAGTAACAGTTTGAATCTGTGAGGCAGAACAAAGACACAAGAATAATTATGCACTTCAGAGATAGTCACAACTTAATATGTTTAAGAAATTACATTAAAAAATCTTTAAGAACATTTCGCTGTAGCTCTAAAGGAAAGATTCATACCCCACGGGTGAACGTCCTGGGTTGTGGAGTCTCTTTCTTCAAAGCTCCAACCACCCATGACACCTGACAATCAAAAAGGGACAGGTTTAAAAGGCATACATGCAGGTCTTGGCAAGTGATAAACACCATCATCACGGGCAAAGACAACTAGAATTTAGGGCAAACTGACGTAGATGACAAAAAGGAAAAGTGCAACATTTCACAGCATAGGTTATCTTTGCTCAGTTGAATTGCAGACGTACAGTAGCAAAGGCGGTCTGACGCAGCGAGGATAGTTAGCGTTTTAATCATAGACTGTATATAAAAAGGTTTTATAGGTAAAGTTATGCTTAAAACATCTTGTGCCTTGATTTTGCTAGCTTATTGGCTAATTAGCGGTCAAGAGTCCGGTTACTATAGTAACTGCATACACGTAGCCTGTGCGTTAGCGCCTAGCTTGCTAGCTGGGTAGGTACTGAGCTGTTTCTGGTATCCCTGCTGTCTGTGACTGTGTGAACGACAATAACCTAACGTCAGTTGATGGACTTAAACACAGTGCCATGCGTGTGGGGCAATAGTTTAACAATTTCATGTTTTCCCGTACATACCGCTGACCTCCAAGCCTTCCCTGCCATCATCAGCCAGCCAAGGTCGATACAGCAGCTGCAGCACTTGTCAAGCTTCCCAATCACTAGCCAAAGCCGATTTCCGTTCTGAACGATTTTCTTCCCAAATAAACCCTTATCAAACTAATTTACACATTACATAAAGTCACGAATAATGAAAATTCCAATTATTTTAAAGTAGTAACGTTCAATTATGTACTTAAATTTATTTTATAATGGTGAACAATTGTACACAAACAACCAGATTCCCTTTACCCTAGACGTCTTCCGGGATAAACACTGAGGTTTTTTGCGGAAGTGACTTGGAGCATGGATGTATAAAGCGTCCAGTAAAACCACAAACTCAACAAAATGCAAGCTTTCCAAAGGAAAAATAATATTTTACCATAAACGGGCGAACTATATTGTTTACATATCATCCATCATTGTCAAATATTATCCTGAACGCTGTCCGTGCATATCTTAACATGACTGTTAAATGACACAGTATCTATCCCTTTTTATTTGTTTACAATCTACAGAAATATTAACTTGTGTATAGACTGTATGTTGTTTTGGTTATTTTATATACCGGTATATGCCTATTTTTTTTACCTATTGTATACAAAATATTATAGTCCTGACTACTTTTACCTATCTTTGTTGTCCTTGTGTTTGCTGTATGTCTATCTGTAGCTTCATGTTAATTGTTCTTGAAACTATCTGTAAGTAGCCCTACACTGAGAGCAACTTAAAACCTGAATCAAATATTTTCATGTGTAGACATACTTAGGCAATAAAGCTGATTCTGATTTAGTTTTGCTGGACAATTACCACCAGCAGGTGGCGCCAGTGGACTGCTACTGAGAGTAGACAAACTCCAGGGGTAAATACTACAGGTTGCTTATTTCTTTCCTTAAGCCATGTTATTAATACACATGTTCTTTGGCTCTGGATGTACAACAAGTGTAAAGTATATATGTATCAGTTGCCTCAAAGTAGACTTTGTAGATTTGAGTAAAAATCAAACATGTGAAGTACACCTTTATAAACACAGTATTTTCCACAAGTTGATTGTACACATAATAAACTTTATGGTATAAAATGGTAAAGTAGAAACAGCTGAAACAATCATTCAATCACTTTTTGCAAAACTTACAAGAAAGCATACAGCATGGCACTCCCCAAATTATCCAGCAATGCCAAATGGAAAAAAGCTCTTAATCACTTAAACCTATAGAAATTCTTAAGCAGCATAGGTCTCAGCATAAATGCAGGCTGAACATGGTACAAAATGCACACTGTGCAAGTAAAGATATCTATGCACCAAACTGAGGGGAGTCAGTATGGATAAAGGTTTTCAAACCACTTACATGTATTGTATGTCAGTTACCCAGCGCTTAGGATGTGATGCAATTATAACAAATGCAACACAAAGCATGTGTGTCTGGCTATAATACATATCAAGCACTTGGATAAAGCTTAGTCATTTCAGAAACCTACAGTACATTGGCCATGGTAGATCATACAACAAAAAAGTTGCTAAAGGTTGCACACAAATGTGTTGAAAATAGCCCAACTCAAATGGCATACTGCTTTGGCTGCTTCTTCAGGCTCATCGATCTTTCAGTTTGCGAAATGACATGAGTGGCTCTGTTGTTGAGGAGTCTGCATTCATGAAGAACATCTGTAGAAAAATAAATGTAGGGCAAGGGTTATATATACCGCACTGTGAACACAACATAGTTGAGTCGACAACTGGTTAGATCACATGCAACACTTTTCTTTAATAAATACAGCCCTACAGAGAACCTCTTACCGTTAAACTGTTTGTAGGCTTCATCAATAATGGCATTGTTTGATCTCTTTATCTCCCAGTAACTATCCTCCACCCATGGTTTGCAATCAGGATGTTCAACAAGCTGCCCATTCTTGTATAAACCGGCTAAACATTTAAAGAAAGAAAAACAGTTTGGTTAGTAATTTAAAGTGCAAACAACAACTACAACACAACAATGTCAGTAATGCCATTGTAGGATTGTGTATTCACGACAAATTGCTACATTCAACATCTGAACTTAATCTGATGAACGGTGTGTTTTAACAAGTCATCACACACTAGTTAACAAATGTACCTTTGATGGTCTCATCAATGTCTTTGCATAATTGGTACAAGTCACTCCCACGTCCAACCACTCTTTCACCTACAGTTCAAACAGATGTTTTTTTTTTAAAGGGATCTCAAAATCCAAGAACACATTCAACATGGTCTAAGAGTTATGTTATGCAAATGACTAAATAAAAAGAAAATATATCTTACCATCCAGCACCTTGATGTTGGGGAACATCTCAAGAACTATGGTTCTATATGCTGCGTTCCTGCACACTGATGTAGAGAAAGTCATTGTGATTTCACTTATCAAGATTTTTCATCCACTGTTTTCAAATAACAAATAATTACCTGGATTAGTGTAATTGTAAGTGTTGTCTTTAAAACGTATATTTTCTAGCTTTCTCAAAGACTGAAGGCAGTGTAGGCTCTCAATGCTGTTGAAAAACAAAACAGGTAAAAGATGATTTATAATAACAAATTTATTAAAGTATTAAAAATACATTATTAGAAGCAAACTATTTTTATGTTTAACATCAATGACATTTAATTGTTTGTAGAATATGTAACATTGTAATTAGTGAAATATTCACAACTTTATTCATCTAGGGTGAGAATTTGGTCAAAAGTTATATAGTGATACCTGGATATGATATTACCAGCCACGTTTAAGTTCTGTAAACTGTCACAACTGCGCAGGGGCTCTGAAATGACAAAAGCAATTACATTACATTAAAAAATCAAATTCTACTCATGAAAGAGACCTCCTTGATAAGTGAAATAAAGAATAAATTGCTCCTGAAATCTTACCTAAACTGGAAATCCTGTTGGCAGACACATTGAGTACAGAAAGAAGCCGAAGAGATGCTAGAGGTGCTAAATTTGTGATGTTATTTCCAGAGAGGTCCAGTCTCTCCAAATTCATACACTCCCCAATGCATCCAAGATCATGTGTTCCTGTGAGACACAATTATTTATTAGAAACAATGTGGACACTTTTGAAGGCTTAAACAGTGGTATATAAAATAAATCTTACCAAGACCTCTCAATTTGAGAAACAGTATTGACTCCAAATCAAATTCTCCTGTTCGTGACTTGAGCAGCACAGCAGTTATCTTCTCATAGTCTGCATCTGAAAGAATCAGAGAAATAAGACCGCAGCATAAAAATATCTATTCCTACATATGCAACACACTTATTTGTGAGTCAGTGCTGCAAAAGCAGAATGCTGGAAGCAGTATGTCTGTTCTGTTTTACACTGGAACAATCAAGTAACCCATGCAATCATCTCTATGTAGTAAACACCACGTCAAGCAGACTATGAATTTCATATGGGGCAGCAAACTGAGCTTTTCCTCTGCAAGCTCCAGAGACAAATTGTCACAAACAGGCAGATGTGTTGTTCTTCGCTACGCCTGTAACAGTACTGGATCGCCAGTTGCATGCATGAATGACAATGGGGGAAGTTATGTTTAGTTTAGTTTCCTAAGGCAGAATCAGTCCCTAACTCTTAACTACACATGAATACTCTTTCATGAGCCTGCATACACGAAACACTGATTCCCTGAGGAGAACAACGTCACTGAAGACTCATCAGGTTAACCAAAAATGATGGTGTCGTGGGCTATTTGTTTCATTTAATACTAAATAATTTACTTTATATGTAATTTTTACAAGGCTTGGCTGGCAAAGTACTATTATTTTTTTTTTTTTTTTTTTTTTTTTTTTTTTTTTTTTTTTTTTTTCCCTGAGAAGAAGGTGAGGGAATTTTTTAATGACAAGCTTAAAATTGATCCGAAATCTATTGAAATTGAAAGAGCTCATCATATTGGAAACTTGAAACAGCAAACAACAACAACAAAACCAAGAGCAATTGTTGTAAAATTTCTATGCTACAAGGACAAAGAACTTATTCAAAAACACTGGTGTCTATCTTAATGAAGATTTTTCAGATCGCATTAGGAAGAAGAGGGCCGAACTGCTTCCAGCTATGAAGGAGGCCAGAGAGAGGGGAAACTTTGCTGTTATTAGCTATGATCGGCTCATAGTTAAACCCTGTCAACAACATCAGATGGCAACTAGTGAAGTTTAAATAATTCCTCTCATTGTACATGCATGATGATTTCTTCTGATCCAGTCCACATGCATGATGATTTCTCCTGATCCAGACCAAAACAGTTTTCTCCAACTACAACAGAATTATTTTGGCTCTTCTGAATACTATTGTGAAAGTACTTTTAAAACTTTGATAAATTCTCTTAGTACTAGAAATGATCTTTTTTTCCTTCATATTAATGTTCGTAGTTTGTCTAAAAACTTTGAGGGTTTATCCTCTTGCCTTGAAAATCTAAATTATACCTTTAATGTGATAGGGCTTACTGAAACACGGCTGACTGACTGGGAATTTTCATCTAGAAGATTACAAACATATTTTCAGATGTAGAGAGGGATGGGTGTGTGGAGGGGTTTCTCTGTTTATCAAATCCAGTCTACATTATAAAGAAAGATGTGACATTGAAAAGCTTTTTGATTCTTCTTCAGAAGTAGTAGTAGTAGAAACTAATTTAGCAATAATTTTATGTATCTATAGACCACCTAATTGTGACCTCTCTGCATTTATTACTGACATCTCCATCTGGCAAAGTACTATTATAACACCACTACAAAATGGGGGGAACGGTCGTGGGTGGGACCAGTAGGGCCACCAAACACACACCTTGCGTATGTTAACTAACACCTACAAAATAAACCTAATGGTGTTTAGCTTAGCTTGACACTCGGCCACCAGTAAATGTTTTTTAGCTAATAGTGTTGGCAGCGACCTGTGTTTTAGCTATGAGCATCGTGGGGCAGCGGCTGGGTGGTTTCATGAGGATGATTCAGCCGGATGAAAGTGGGTGGGTTATTTAATGAAATGGTAATTTTTCACTTTTCCTCTGATGGTGACACACGTACAATGTTGCGTAACGGTCGATACGTTGTTAGCTACAGCTAAGCTTAAAGCCACAGCTAGCTAGCAGGAGCCGCTAGTGGCTAGCATGGCGACGTAGCAACAAGCTATCCATCACAACTTACCTTGGTCTTTATCTCGCTTAGAGTCCATCGTGGGCAACTTTGCTACTTGGAAAGCTACCTGTCGCAATCAAAAGCGTTGATTTTAACCAATTCAGTGGGAAGGCAAGGCAGTGGTTATTTTGGGGAAATGTGAAATTGGCATCTGTCCTGGGGTGTAGGCAGGACACGCTCACTGTACTGCTGTGCTGCAATAGCACGCAGGTGGATGAGACGGACAGTCTCTGCAGTCCAGCTAAGCACAACGCACAGACAGAGGCAGCACACTGTGTTAGAGGGCGCTGGAAGATGAAGATGTGGCTGGAAAATTTGTTTTTGCTAGCTGTTTCTTCCGTGCAACAGGTTCTGTGTCAATTAAAAGTTTGTTTCTTGTTACAGCAATGTCGAAAATAATTATTGTACGGGTTTAATTAATGGATCTGCGGTAGTCAACTTTACACGGTAGTGTACTTTAAATAATTGTAAATCGAAGTAAATCAAATCGATTTGAAATTCATGCGCACGCAAAGTCCAGAATCGGACGTCTTTTTAGGTTGTGTTGTACACTACCAGTGATGGGAAGTAACTATGTTTACTCAGCCACTGCATGTCATTACAAAATAGTTTGCACTTTGAATATTTTCATTTGATGCTACTTTATGCTTCCACTCATCAGAATGAAATCTAACGTTACAATTTATTTATGCTTGGAAATATTAGCCTATACTCTGCTACTTTATATCTGAAGTTACCATACTTAGAAAAAAAGTTTAGAAACAAAATATAGTATTATTTATTGATCAAAAAGCTGTAGCATTAGGCTATTACATGTGATGTTAGGTTAGTGGGGAGGTGTATGTCAATTTTATCAACATTAAGTTGCCCTACAGTGTAGTTGAGAGCATCTTCATTGATAGCAACCTGCAGTTCACATGTATTTATTTATTTATTTGTCTGAGGTGTTATTGGTTTGTCTTGACGCCGGTGGACAGCAGCTTGGTGCTTAAAGAGAAGCAGATCAGTTTGCAGCTCTTGGACTCCTCAGACAACCTCCACGCTCTGACACAACTGGACACTACTCCTACCTTTCGTACCACATTTTTCATGTTTTTATGCGCCCCCTACGTTTTGCAGTCATGGCGGATCTCCCGTGAGGACAACAACCTTTTGTAAGAGTTTGCAACGTCGTCGAGCGGAGACCTCGTCTCCGAGGACCCCCTAAATGCTTTTCATTGAGAAAAGGCTTCGGACGTTCAGTGTTGGGAATGTGTACACGCAACAAATGATTTGATTAAGATGGGTAATAAGCAAACAATATTCACCGACGAACAACTTGATGCCTACCAGGTAAGCTCGCTCGCTCGCCTACCTGCAGCATGTTGGGTCATATAGGCCTGATATAGACTATATGTCCAAGAAAAATCATATTAAAGCATAAAAGAACGTCTTGTAATCCATTAGGATTGTCTCTGTATGTAAATGGAGATCTACAGTTTAGACCTTAAGTTTAATTTCAGTTCATTCAGGACAGAGTGGAGTAAAAGGTGAGGCCTTAGTAAAGAACTATCCTTATACAGCATTGTGATGCATGAATTTTTTCCCATGACATGTAAATTGCTCTTCTCTTATTATTATTATTAATATTATTATCATTATCATTATTATTATTATTATTATTTGTAGTAGTAGTAGTAGTGGTGTCATACGTTATTAATTATCTTTTTCGCCTGATATTGGTCAAGTCACTCGTGCCAGTGGAACCCCATGTGTCTTGGATTTAATGAGTAAAAATAAATAAATAAAAATACTGCACATTTTGTGAAATAGAGCAAAAAGCAAAGATTTTCAATACTGATCATTTATAGGCTACCATTTGACCTCAATGTGATTCAGGCAGGTGCTCCTGATTCCCATCAGTTAATGACAGGCAATCATCAGTAACCTACTAAAGTGTGATCAGTTATGACTCCACTGTTTAAATGTTTACATAGTCTTGATAGGTGAAAGTAGCAGAAGGTGTCCCCATCTGAGAAGATCTGACCTTTTCCTGTGAAGAAATATGTCTTCATTTGCACAGGTTTATCATGTGATTAGGTGTGGACTTAATAATTGATGCCAAGCCAGTGTGATATGTGAAACTCTACTCTCAGGAGACAGTTTTCTCAAGGGCCTCTCTGGTTACTCCGGCTTCTCTTTAAAAAGCCTTATTAGAACACTGTTGCTTTCTGTTTGCCATAGTAATTATTTTGCCTCTTGGATATCAGTTCATTTTATATCTTATTTTTTTGGGATCAAATATTTAAGATTTAACACCCAATTTGACATTAACTTACTGAGCTTCAGTGTTTTCTTTGTTCACCAACACTACTTTACTACCTTTTATATATGTAGGCTTTACTTATGGTGTAATCTGACATGATGGAGGCTAGTAGATGGATTGCTTCACATATGCTCAGACACAGACGGATATCGTCAGTGGACCTGTTTTGACTTGAGTGGACGTGGAGTGAAGAGGGTTTTTTGTTAATCACATTGTCTGTAGAGCTCAGCTTGCTGCGCTCTGCTTTTCACAAACAACTCTGAGAGAATGGATACAAGGGAAAATGTAAATGAAATACCCCCAGTAGTGCTGTTGGATAATGTGTGTGTCAACACACGCTTGTCAGACAGCAGCAGCTCATGTTCCCTATGCCTCATCGTTCCTATTGCAAGTGACAGGTGACAGCACCCACACACATCATTTATGAGATACCAGACACCTCGACAAGCACTGACAGGGTTGTTCACATGACTTCAAAGCAATAAAAGCAATGTTATTTTGGATGACTCAGAGATGTGTCATTGAGTCATTAATGAGATGTATCATTGAGTTTGGGCCTTTTGGAGAAGATGCAAATATTTAACTAAATTTCTCATATTTGTGTTTGACATGTTTTTTTTTTTTGCTTTCATTGCAGGACTGTACGTTTTTCACTCGCAAAGAAATTCTGCGGTAAGAATTTTATCAACTCTGCCTCTTGAGTCAGATGCATTGCTCTGTAATGTACTGTCAGTTGTAAACCACCTGCTCTAACCATTAGATTACACACATAATAATGTTATTAAAAGGTACTGTCTTTATTCCCTTTTGTTCCTGTGCTTTAAGTGGACACTGATTTTGCTAGGCATGTAATACTAGATGTGAACATATGTGAGTCATGCCAAGTCCACAGAGCAGGCTGCTTACCACTTGGGAAACGTAATGCTGTAGTTGATTACTTTGGCTAAAATGTGTAATATTTGGACACTGTTCAAAAAGGGGAAGATACAAGTACTTGCTGTACATTTTAATTCTAATGATATCTGACATACATACTTAAGATGACAGTAGAATTGTAGAACCAATTAGTGCAATTTGATTTCAGAAACAGTACATTATTTGTCTTATAATTGCAGTATAAAACAACAACACAACATGTGTGTTGGTTGCTTAAGAGCAAAGGTTGGCAGGAACACAGTTTGTTTGCTATTAGAATGATTTACAACTTTAAATTTGAAATGTGAATAAATCAAATGTGGTAATGAAACAATCCACTATTGACTGATTATTAAACATCCATCATTTTAGACAGCATATGTACTGTTGCAATTGTAGAGAGAAAATTATGCATTTTGAAAAATCTTATAATTGATATTTATCAGATTTTTTTTAAATTGTATTCTGTGCACATGCAAACTGTAATGTGTAAGTAATGTGTCAGTATCATCAAAATATTAGCCAGAAAGCCTAAATAATGTTTTTATTGGGTAATGTTAATAGATTCACTTGATGAAGTGTCAGATAATACAAAAACAAGTATATGAAGCTGGAAGTCCAAAGCAAAACGAACATTTATTAAATAGAATTAGTATACTGTCATTTATCTTTTGGTAGCTACTAAAATGTAAATGTAAATGCTCCGTACTTGTATAGCGCCTTTCTAGTCTTTTCGACCACTCAAAGCGCTTTTACACTACATCTGCATTCACCAGTCACACTCATTCATACACTGGCGGAATAGCCGCCAGGGGCAATTCGGGGTTCAGTATCTTGCCCAAGGACACTTTGACACGCAACTAGGGGGAGCCAGGGATTGAACCTTGATTTCCTTGTACAGACTGACATCCTAAATGATCCGCTCATCCACCCCGTTAATTATCTTCTTGTATCTCCACATCAACTGAACATCCCAGTAAATACGAACAAGCTGAAGCATAATAGACAAATGTAATTACATCTGTGAATTGCACAACATGTGCTTATATTGTTGGTGCATGTGATAAGTAAAATTAAAAAAAAAAATTTAAAAAAGTTTTTTGTGAATGAAGATCTAGAAGGTTCTGTCCTGCAGCAGTGTCACTATGTTACCTAAACCTTTGAAAGTCATGTTCACCTTTTGACTGTGGTGTTGTTTTCAATGCCACCCAATGAAGTGTCACATTTCTTCCTCTTTCGGCATAGGGCAACCTCAACAATTAAAAAAATGAAATAAATATAAATCTACTCTTAGTGATTGCACAAGGTATCATGATTTAGCTTGGGTTGCATGGCTCATTTCTCTCTTCCTGTCAATCACCCCCTTGATGACAGGAATAAATTAACAAATCGCTTGTTTTGCTTTTTAATGGAATTGACCCACAATGCTCACGTTTCATTATCTTCTAGATGTTGGAAGATAAAAAGCTACTTAAAGTAATTAAATGCTGATACTCAAGAAAGTTGCAGTGTAACATTAGATAAGGATGACAGTTTTGTGATTCCAGGCATGCAGGGATTTTGGGGTCTGATTTGCCCTTACGCTGTATGTGCAGGAAAGGCTGTTTTAAAAATTATTTTCCTTGGTGCTGCATCTAAAAAATTGCATCTAAAATTACACAAACTATCAAGAATTAATGAACGATTAAAGTTTAACATATTACACAACATGCTTCTTTGATCCTACTTATACAAATAGCTTTAGGCCTTACATTTTCCCAATTATGCTGCTTTTATCTTTCCAACAAAGCAAAGTATGTGTAATTAATCAGTTTTCACTTATTAACAAATAGTGTGCAAGTACCTCATCTGTGATATTGAATTAACATTGATTCCAAGGCCATCATTGGATTGGAAACAAAAATTGACAATCAGTAGAGGGCATAATTGGGTCCTATACTTTATGACTTTCATAAAACGCCTGCAACGGTTTCATCACAGATATGTAACATCAAACAAACAGGCTATCACTGATGGTCATAAGGTCACTGACTGTATGTCATATATCAATGTTAGCACTAGATTAGTAGTTTTGGAAATTAATCAGTAAGCTTACTAACATCTTTAAATTGGTAGAAGCTATAAGATCCAAACACTTGAAGTGTCACAGTGCATCAGTACTGCAGGTTTACTTGTTCATTTGTTGCAGTGTACCAATGAAACTCCATCATTTTGACAGGTTTATCTAATTTAATTGTAATGCATTTGTCCTCTAAGACCAGTCTCCCTGCTGAGAAATGGCTCTGCTCTGGCAACGAAGGTACAACATGACAGTGTGAAAGGGCCACTGTAGTGTAGATAAGCACCGACTTTCCCGACATCATGTGTTTATCATTCATACAGCCTCCGTGCAGTTTATTGACATTATTCTCGATAATGAAAGGCATAAAATTTCACAAATTCCACAGTGCAAGATAAGAGAAGGACAGGAGAGATAAAGAGAGAAAGGTTAAAAAGAGGAATAATAGTGTTTAAAGAATGATTTGATTGTTCTGTTGTTGTTTTTATGTCATGTTTCCCCCCCCACACCATTCATTTTTTGGTCATGTTTCTGTTTTATATATGTCCATTCCATATTTGTTACACTCCATCTGTGCTATTTAATAGCTTATTAAATCATCTTATAACATCTGTTGTGCCAGAAACTTCTTCTAAGTTTCAGGTATTAAAGTAACGGTCAAGGTTGTGTTTTTTTTAGTAGTCGTCATGTTGTTTATTTACTAAAAGTCAGTAAGCCAGAAGCAGAAAAAGAAATACAATTGTTCATGAAGTCTTTTTATTTTTAGGTTGCACGGCAGATACCATGAGTTGGCGCCACATCTTGTACCAATGGACTACACCAATGATCCTGATTGTAAACTGCCGTTAGCCTTAATAGTCAACATGCCAGAGTTGAAGGTAAAAAAAAACGATTGATGCAAGTCCTATGTAGTAACTTGTAAACATTTTCCTTAAGTATCAACTTCTTTTTACCTGTACTTTATTTTTCACCAGCAGCATGTACTGGTATTGGGTTTTCTTATTTTGGATTGTGCTATAAGAACACTCTAAAACAAACGTGGCACCCACTGCCCATGCGGGCAGAAACCTAATCAATTCTTTAAGAGGAGGAAATTGATTTTTAACCGTCATCACCACTGATCTGATTGTGTGACACCACAGTCTGTGAGCTTATGAAAGTTAATGTGTCATGAAACGCTCAGTCTCTCTATCCTGACAGGCATGTTGCATAACATCACAGCTGCATTTACCTCTACTTTTCTCCAAACACACCAGACACGACGACCGCACAATTTTATATGGAGTCCTCGTCCACCAAGGGTTTAGAACATAGACTCATATAGAGTGTCCTTGCTTTGGGCATAATTGGTCCTTGCTTGTTAAACTGTCACATGATTGCAGGGCCTGTAAGGATGGTGGGAGGAAAATGGAGGCCACTGATAATATGATTGATGAGGCCAAGATAATACACAAAGTCACCCAAAGTCAAATCCTCTACAGATTCATAATTACATTTTCTACTCGGATTAATGAGCTGTGTTGAATGGAGTGGACTGAGTGCACACAGTTAAAACTGCACCGCTTTAGATGGCTGATTGTGACTTATTTTGCTGAGCTTGTATTGGGCTCAAACATGCTAACCACCCTAAGGAAATCAGCTGTACTTGTTTTGTTCTTGTAATTGTTCACAGAATTAGTGAGAGTGTCTTCTGAAGGCCTGTCCTTCAGTGGGGATTTATTCCTTGTATCAAATCAGCTGATTACCTGGGATATAAAATCCCTTAGTAGCAACTTGTGGTTAAGCAATGGAGGAGAAAATATTGGCTTCACGATGCAAGCGAAGAGAGGGAGTCAGCCTTTTTCAGCTGAACCCTGTGATCAGCAGAATAAACCTAGCAGTTTATACCTCTGCAGCTCATATGTGAAACTGACATTCACATTTCATTTACTCGCATGTAAAAACGAAAGATCATGACACCTGTAGTTCCTTCAGGGTATTTTTCTTTAGGTTTTTGTTTTTCTTATCCAAATCACATGGCATATATTTAAGTGAATCTTTTATTTACATTAATGTGTACCACCATTAACATTGATGTGTGTGATGTGTGTAAATGATGCAGTCCCCTTCACCTGTAGGAAAACCCATTCCGCAGCAGGATTGTAGAGTCTTTCTCAGAGGACGGGATGGGGAATCTCAGCTTCAATGAATTTGTGGACATGTTCTCAGTCCTCAGTGAAATGGCTCCAAGGGAACTCAAGGCCATATATGCCTTCAAAATATACGGTAATTTCTAAAATATCCATTATAGTTTTTTCAAATTTCTCAGAACCCGACAAAATGACATGGTTTGTTCATTTGCTATCAACTCCTGTTACCTACAGATTTCAATGTGGATAATTACCTGTGCAAAGAGGACCTAGAAAAGACTCTAAATAAGCTGACGAAGGAGGAGTTGACTCCTGAAGAGGTGGTGCTTGTGTGTGAGAAAGCCATTGAGGAGGCAGATTTAGACGGAGACAACAAACTCTCCTTTGCTGACTTTGAAAATATGATATCTAGGGCTCCGGACTTTTTAAGGTGATTAAATGTACCTCACTTAAGACAAATGTTTTGATATGATATTTTTAAGAAAAGCTTTTGTATCTATTATCTATCTCCATCTACACTTCATTCTATTTGGGGATCAGTGGCACTTTAAAATGGGCAATTCATACATCACCCCTTATGCTGCAGCCCTGTGAGTTGTACCTCCCTGTTTACATACAGTTTTCATTACCCAGATGGCTGGTAATAATTTTCATCAATTAACTGTCACTTTAACAGCATCAGTTTAATCCTGAGCCACCACAGCGTATTCATTTATATGGAAATGGCCTTACCACTGTCAATCTCCTCTGAAATACGCAACACCACTATTCCTGATTCCTGTATGTTTATACTCGCATAGACAGTAAGTCAGTATGTTTGCATGCACAGTGACTACTACTGATTCAATGTTGGTCCCTCACATTGTCTCTTTTTGTCACTCTAGTACCTTTCATATACGAATCTGAGAGGGCTCCTTGGAAAGTTTCCACAGTCTGCAGTGTGGTGAACCTCAGGACTCTACCTGCACTCTGTCCTGGCCACAGCACAGTGCCTGTCTCCCACTCCCATCGTCAAAAAAAGTTGTGCATTAGCCTCTGGCCTCAGTGAAGTCTGCTTAGTTAGAAAGCTAAATACTCCATTTACTGAATTTTTCTTCACTGTAGATGAAGATGTATTTTCCTTTTACAACCTATAAAAGGGCTTGACCTTGATCGGTCTCTTTTTGGGAAGAAATTGCTATTCTGTCCACATTTTAATGTTGAAAATGAGCAATGAAACAAATCTGTAATGAGCCAGATGGATTTCCGCTTATTAAGCATTTTATGCATTCTTTAATGTGCTTATCTACCATTATTGCACATGAGATACCCAGTCAAGTCTTCCTAATATGTTACACATTTAGTATTTATAAGGCTAAGGACAAAGCTTGAAGTAAAAGAAAGCACAGCACTGGCATTAAGGGCATACAGATATTTTATAGGAGCTATGCAATATTTGTACATGCAGTGTATTGCTTTAAGTCATTTTAGGTTGTGTGTTTTGCTTGTGGTACTGGAACATGATGACAATCATATCTTAACTGTTATCCAGTTAAACGAAGGGTTCTGTCTTCTGAACTCATTTTGGTAGCTTCCATTTTCTGCCTCAGCCATTATCATGAGGTATTACATGCAGCCATCTTTTGGATACACACGTAACAGTTTTTTATGTGAATTCAGGTATTTGTCTTACTTTGAATAAATGTATTTTTCTGTGTGTTCTGAGTGAATTACTTTGTCTGAATTCATTTGAGAAAAAGCATGAAATAATACTTAAATATAGAAGCTCTCTGTTTGTTAACACCCTACTGCATTTCAAGTGGCTGGCCTGACCTACAACTTTAATGAGTACAGTAAAATCCCTTTCATATAACCAGTTCCCCTCAACCCACCCACCCATGATGATCAAGGGGTGTGCACAGTAAAGATCTGAAAATGACTGTGCCTCTGCATAGCCCATCATATGAGCTGTAATAAGTTGTTAGGCAGGTTCAGCACTCACAATGATTACATCCTGCACACACAGTTAATCTCAACGGGAGAGCTGGAGGAAATGGCCATGGTCATGTTGGTTGATGATTAACGGGTCCTGGTTTCTGGGCTGCAGGGCACAAATTTGCATCAGGCACATATGGAGCGTACTGTGTGGTTTATGTACAGTTCTTGTTTCCAGCTCAGGTTCTACTAGTGAAGTCATACTGTTCAAGTGGATGTTGGGAAGCCACACATGCAGAACATTTTATCAGTCAATAAGATATTCAGGCCATACATGTGCTAAGAGTCACATCTGTCTTTGCTGCCAAGTGAAATGTCTGCAAAATAAATATGACCTAGTTAAGTGATGCTGAGTCTGACAAATACGCAACAGTTACAAAGTAGAAATTGGGACATTAGCTGCAGGCTTAAGCAAAATACCATAATTTGCCTAGACCATTTTTTCTCAAGTACAGTTTCTTTTCTGTTAGCTACTGGAAATAGCGAACGCTGCAACAAGTTTTATGTGATGGTTTAATTGTTCAAGCTGGATCTTGTGTGTCACAGCAGACAAAAACAAAACATGCATATGCAGATCAAAATCAAAAAATAGTGTATAAAATAGAGCCGCATTGGTAGATGGTATGATTGCTCTCAGGGACACTGCCATCTATGAAAAATTAAAAGTTATTTTTACTTGACAGAGGAGGCTGTAGAAGTTTGTTAAGCAGTGTGCAGTCATCAGAGCAGCCAGTTAATTCTTCATCCCATTTTCTCCAGTTCCCTTTATGAGGGCAGTATCAAATATTCAGGGCAATCCAGTGCTGACTGGGTGACTTTGTTAATTACCGGTCTCACAGAGAACATCTGTTAATTATGATTCCTGCAGAGAAGCTTCTGGTGCAATGTGATACTGGGGGCTGTAAAGCAGCCATTACTGTAAGCAACTGTTTCTGATGTTGAGAGTGGCCAAGGAGTGTGTGAAAGTCACGCTGATTTCACTCCATGGGACCTTGTCTGTTTTAATTTGTTCTGATTTAAGATGGTGCCTTAAACTTGCTCAGCATAGCGGCAGTGGGGCCTTACTAACTGCTCGGTGGCAGATTAAGAGATTATTATCCAAGTTGGTGTTGCTGTGTACTGTATCAGTAATTATTGCATGTTTACTATTTCTTGAAATTGACAAATTATTTAAAACAAGGTGGTGATCCTTTAACACTACCCACATTACCATGTACAGTTGCTAACACAGACAAACTGTTAAGTGTCTTATGTATTTGTAACCCCTCACTTGTGTATAAACTGATGATGAATGACAACATAATATAATACACTTCTCATCATAGCATTGAGGTATTTATGTATTTATTTTAAAATATTATATGGTATATATTATTATTATTATTATTATTATTATATAGAAATATATTATAAAAAGAATATATTTGAAAAAATACTTCTTAATGTTCCATGTTTTGAACACACACCTGTTAATATTTGTTCATGTAAAAGTAAATTTTTATAACACACTGTAAAGTTTGTTTATACAGTGTTATGAATCATTCATTAACTTAGTTATTTTCATATGCTGCTAACAAAGGCTAATTAGGGAGTGTTACCAATAAGGGTATACTGTGTACTGTATACTGTGTTTGTAATCTCTTGAGTTATTGTAATTCACTTTTGGCTATCCATACCACAGCATACAAAATGGTGCTGTTATATAATAGTGTATCTAGTACATTGTTGTAATTTTGTGAGTGTTATTCACAGGTACAGAAACCCAATGATACACAATCAGGCACTTATGACATCTTATTTGTCTGTTAAGAAGTAACACACATTCCCTACTGTTTTCCAGTGACATGTTATCATCTGAATCTAAGTTGTGAAAGAGAAAATGACAGAAATGTCAAAATATTGTTGATCTTCCATTTGAATGTTTTGATATTTGAGTGGGTTCAAATTTGCATTTCATCACTTGCAGGGGAAATACCTTATTTCTTTACCTCTGCCACACAAGTTCTACACTGCACATACAATTATACTGCAGCTGTTCCTGTATTTTATTGCTTATAACGATAACTATGAGCATGGAAAGCCTTTTAGTACACAGAAAAGCCATCGACGTATTACCTACACTGTTGTTTTAGTGACTACCGCTAAAACCATAATTATGTAGTAAAAGAGCAGCAGAAGATAGAAGATAATAAATGACATTTAAACGTCTTTGACTAACTTCCCCGTTGCTGCCATATACAAGGTTTTGAAATCAGTATGCAAATAAAGTTTCCTGTGAAAGAAGTGCAGTATTGATGGTAGCAGCTTGTAGTCAAAATAGTTTTAAAGATCAGTAGTAAAGAAAATAATTTTCCTTTTTTAATTTCTCATTTATGGATTTGTGTTTAATGACATTATTAGTTTTGTAAAATGTCTGTATACAATTTATGTTGTATTTAGGACATTTGTTACACGTGGAAAAGAAGTTGCGAATGCATCATAATTTTTTAATAAATACATTAAAAATTAAAATAAAAAAATACAGAAGTCATTTGAATAGCTATGAGCATGTAAGCCCATGATGAATTTATAAAAGAGAAGCTTTCACAGAGTGTGCATCAGGCTGGACCACTGTAGTGTCAGAGAAAAATTAGTGATTATTTTCTTCTGTAGCAGGTAAGGTAACCTCTTCACCATTTCCTCTTGACTTCAGGGAACAGCCATTTCCATTTTTCATTCTGCAGGAGGTAGAAAAAAAAAAGGTTCAGCATTAAATAAATAGGACGAACATTAAATTCAACTTTTGGAGACTAAAATATTTCAATGAAAGCATTTTGACCACATTACTAACCTTTAAACCCCAGGATGAGTGGTTGTGTTTGGGTCCCATGTCCTCCAGACGGTTGGGTTTAAGTTTGGCTGTGTCCACGAGGCCAGGAATCAGCTCGTATGTATTTTCTTGGGGGAAGCGGGCAACGAGGGCTTCACTGGTGACCTCAGCATACAGGGACTGTGACTGCTCTGACGATGTTCTTGTCTCAAACGATGTAGTGTGTGGGCTATCAGGCCTGCCGGCTAGGTGATAGACAGCATTGTCACTCATGTATTCCAGGCTATGGGTGCTGCTCGGTCTGCTACACGAGTCTGTCTTCTCTGGTGATGGGCTATAGTGAGTGGCTTGTCTGAAGGGCTTAGGGGAAAGTCTCGGAGGCGTGTTGGGGGGTGCACTCAGCCTGTACTGCTCTCTGTCAGAGCTGTTGTTGTTCAGAAGCGGTAGAGACCTGCTCTTGCTGTCCAGCAGGTCGAGCTCAGAGTAAACAGAGTCCGGTTCAGATGGAGGTCTACACCTGCTTATGTTCTGACTCTGGGTTGTGGATCTCTCAGCTCTCCCCGGATTATCTCCAGGTAAATGGTCCTGACAGATGTGGATCTCCCTGGGTGATTGCTTCCTGAGCTGAGCATACAAAACCCTGTCCTGATCGTTCAGGCCATCAAGGTGCCTGTTCCTCCGAGGTAAAGGTGGTACTTCCTGTTTTACAAAACAAGAAAGGTTTTTTAAGTCCGCTTGGAGATATTTAACACAGTAACAATTTCAGTGAAACATATTGGTTAGAATAAACTCCCCGTAATTTAGGGACTGCACTCGCCTCTAGTGTCCTGTTGTTCTTTCGTGGCCGTACGGGAGGCTGCTCTTGAGCTGGGTTCATCTGTTGCTTTCGCGTGTTCTTCACAGCTCTGACAGTGCCCACAGGCTGTTCTTTAGGGTTCACCTGGATGATATCATAAAGTCCTTCATTCAGTGCCTGCAAGAACAAAATTCCAGTTAGACCTTTATTCTTGATCAATGTAACTTAAAGAAAGTGACTAAGGAGTTTTGTCTCACCTCAAAACACGAGGATGTCAGGTACTCTCCGAAGGGCTCGATGGGGCTTGTCTTGTAGTATTCTATGAGATCAGAGACTTTGTCATGTTGTTCAGTGTCGCCACAGACCACAAACTGCCCTGATTCGCTTTGGTTTATCACAAAATGTCGACACCGATCACTGCCTCTGCAACAGGAAAAAAAAAGTTTGTTAAAGCCATGGTTCTCCACAACACATTCTTGTTGGCCCCATGTTATCACTAGAGCAGTCTAGTTTTGTGTCCAAAAGTCAGACATTTCATTTAATTTAAAAAACACAAAATCACATGGGTTCCTTCGGCTGAAAAGTGTTTCTAAAGTGTGTTTGATTAAAATTATCTGATGATGAAATAATATCTTTGGTTCAGACAAGATGAAAACAGTAAGATGTTTAATTCTGTATTACCGCTGAAACATCTGATTTGTGTCACATCATGGGCTTTTTACAATAGTGATTACCTAAATACTGTACTTTAAAATTTGTGCAATATTGATTTACATAGATCCACTATTTGCAATAACAAATGAATATTATAAGCAGTTAAAGATTTGGCACAAAGTAAAGTTTGTATTAAAACAACATGCTGAGTTTTTATAGTGGTTTCTGATTTTGCAACAGGTTGTTCAGAGTAAACCAATACTCACTTATAAGACAGAATGTATCCAATGGCCTTATCACTGAGACGGATCAGGAAACAGCCCAGCTCCTTATCTCTGAGTATTTCTTCAGCATCTCTGTAGATAAACCATGATGAACTTTACAACAGGAACCTCAAAACATTTTAGCAAAAATGTTTTCCAAAAGCCCATTTGGCCTGTGTTTACAGGAACAGTAAGGAGCAATTTGAGCAAAGTGAGGCGGATCGCATAATTCACCTTGGAAATTACATCGCATCAAAGGAAAATCCATTTAGTTACGTGTGTTTTCCATAAACCTGTTATTTACTAATACACAAGTTCTGACAAAAACATCCCATGTGCTCTTTATGTAGGTGTAGGTAGTTGAATATGCAATCTTCCAGACATGACAATTGTGCATTTTGGTTTCAGCACTGAACAGACTCTGCTTTGCTTAAATATTACTTCACCTGATGTACACTCTGACTTATACTTTAATACATTCTGACTTAAAATAAAAGAGCTTAAGTAATAAACCATATACATTTATTTGCTTGACAATAAAAAACTCTTTCTATGTTAAAAATGCTGCTGGTCATTTGTTACTAGTCTGTATTTTGAAATTCTATATAAAAAGAGGACATAATGGCACTTCAGGGAATGGGATCTCTTTTGTCACAAACAAATGATATACAAATATTGAGCGTTAAAGTTCGGGAAAGTTATTTGATAGGAAACAAAAACTTTACTCATAGTCAATGTAAGATTTCTATTGTACATTTAATGAAATCAACGAATATTTACTTTCTCGTGATGAACCCCAAGAACCAAGTGGGGAAGAAGCCGTTGCGGACGATGAGTGGCACTTGAGTGTCTATGAACCACTTTGAAGCCAGTTCCCTGAGTCTTCCTTCAGTCCCTTCAGCATGAGAATCCACTGATGGTTCCCTTTGCTCCATCCTCACCCGGTCCTAATCAAATCCACACAAACAGCTGATGAAGACAACCAGCATTCATTTCCCAACATATGCAGTGAGGCTGTATTTTAACTGTCTAATTTGCTTATTTTCCAGGAGGCGTCAACCAGAAACTAAAAGTAGCTCAGTGTTCTCACTGTAATAGTTTAATAGTGGTGCAGCAAGAAAAACCTGATCATTCATGTGTGTATGTCTTAACATATATTGTACAATGTGTCTTTACTGTTAAATCACAATATTTTAACTTGGTCCACAAAAACTATTCAGAATCCACTACGTCAAAAGTCCATTCACAGGCAAACTTTTATTTACATTGACCTCCTACTGCTATGTCACACTGATGTCAGGCATCAGTAAAAGACAAGTTCTGGTGAGAAAAAAAACAAAAACCAAAAAAAAAGTAGTAGTGATCCACCACAGTGCTTACCTTGAAGCAAAACGTCAGACAGGTCTTGAGGCAGGGTGATTTTGTATGTCTGTGATCCTTTGTCCTTGACCCTGAAAAGTGGCAGATCCTCTCAGATTTGGGTTTCTGTTGTCTGTACAGTACGCAGCAATTTCTTTCAATCCCTAAAAAAATAATCACAATGGACAATGAGACTTCATTCTCAGTTTAATGTAAAGCTCAAGTACTATTATTTTAAGGTGAGTTATTATTTAGGAGTACATACCTTTCCTTGAGATTGCCAGTGTGTGGTTTGAACCTGGTGTCATTGCAGCAAACATTGAAATACTTCTCTCAACTTCTGAACAGTCTGTATCCTACAAGCAAAGGTTTTCTGAAGGAGTATGACTGTACATGGGAGATATAGACAGATGACATTTACAATTACACATTTTTTTCCACCTGCTTGGAAAGCAGTGCCACTCGGCAACGGCATGGAGAGTTCAGACAGCTCATTTGCATAACAGAGACGCCTAAGGGCTGCTGAACAACGCACGAGCTTCCTGAAGAGAAACGGAAAGTAGGCTGTACAGAAAGTGTGGTTTGTGTGCACATGAGCATGGTTTGCAAGAGATGTTTTACCCACAGAGTGATTACTGTAGTAATGGGAGATAAGTTGCGTCAGCAGTTGATCTTCTGTGTTTTCTCACATGGGTTTGCAATAAATGCAGATCAGAACTGATGAGGCGGTACCAAGTGAAGTGAATGAAATGGAAATATTTGTGAAGATTCACTATGTACGCAGAGATTTAAGATGTCATAAACAAAACTCTAATAAGAGGAGATAATTCCTAGCCTTGTCTTGAGGGTTGGCAAAAATAATGGCTAAGTCATTCCCCCCATGCCTGAGACAGTTGTCATGAATCACCTCCAATGGTTTCTGCTCAGTGGTGAGCAGTAGGAAGTCCCTGTGGGGGAGAGACAGTAACCAGAAAGAGTCTGTGTCATACTGAGCGGGATGAGACTGGATTTCAGCATTCCCCAATGCTAACATTGCTCCCACTTTGATCTCAGTAGATACTGCTACTTTTCCCTATACACAGCTGATCAAACCTGTGTCTCAAAGTGTAATCACTGTTGTTCTGTGTGGTTTGTTTTCTTACAACTCTCATATAATAGAAATTATAGGCTTATTATCCATTGATACAGCTAGTATTTACCAAATAAATGCACTCTTATGCTCCATGTACATTGTGACTAAGTATTGCTACAGTATCATGAGCTAGAATTTCAACATCATCTCAACAGTATCTGCTTTAAATGCCTTTGTGAGTCATTGCTCCTCTGGGGGTGTGGAGAAGTTTGGGGTCAAATGTTATCACTGGTTCTGTTTGTAAAGAATGCATTCAGCAATGAACTATTAACAGTGTGCGAACAACACAAAAATTTATTTTATCTAAAGCAGCTTTGAGGTAAACGGGTATCTAAATGGATCAGACGGTTACCAGACAAAAGGCTCTTTAAGATCTTATTTTCAGTCTTCTGGCGACATACGTATGAGGGGTATGTGGGTCTTTAAAAGGTCACAAGTCAGTTGACGCCTGTAAAATGTCATTAGAACAAAAGAACTGCGCTTATGATTACTCCTTCCTTTAAACCTGAGGGTGAAAGAAGCGTCCTCAACCGAATTTTCCCAAAAATAAGCCAAAGTTCAATCTGACCGAAATTATTATGAGATTTATCTATCAAAATAAGTTACACAGTTATCACAGACAGAGTTTCACTGTATTGCATTTTTTTAAGAGCTCCAATATTATTTTTAAGAAGACTTCAAATGGGAAAAATAACAAGTGTATTTCCAAGCACAAGACCAGTCATCTGCTGTTTATGTTCCATGACCCTAAGCTCCAGTTGGAAATATTGCAACAGGCCAAACCCCGGTTTGTTATAGACCTGAGTTTTACTGTCAGAGTCACACTGTGAATAACCTCTAGTCAAATACATGTGAACATGTGATAGTCAAATACATGTGAACATGTGATAAAACTGCTATGGAGTAGAATGATTAATTAATCAATATACTGTAGCTCCTACAAAGATTAGCAACTAAATAAATTTTCTGAAGTGCGGTACTGTAATAAAATGTTTTACGTATTTATCTTGTATTTGTGGATGTCCACGTTTTAATTTCCTACTTCATTATTTTTCATGTAAATGTTGTAGTTTTAGTTTGCTTGTTTGTCTTTTCATTCTCAACTTTATCTGATATATTGTCAGTACACTAAAGACAGGAAACATGGGGAGAGAAAGAAGGCTATGGCATGCAACAAAGGTCCCCAATCAAAATCAAACCAGGCCTACTGTGGTTATGCATCTTAACCACTAGGCCACCAGAAAGCCCAATACTGTAGTTTACTTTTCACTTTACTGCATTTATGTGTGGTTGTATAGTTACTTTAAAGATTAGGATTTTACATTCGACAGGAGGTGAGACTGAGAAAGTTTTGCTGTTGTGAGTTTAATGATGTATCTCCAAAATTAAAACTTTTCAAGAAATCTGTAGGTACAACAGCCCTGATTACAAGTTAATTGGTTTTGGTCATTTTAATTAATTGCAACTTGCACCAATACAAAATCATTTAAAGTGGGTCCTGCATAATTATCTCATCTCGTGGCCCGAGTTCGAGTCGATTTTAATTTTTTCCGTTTTAATAGGCTGTGGTCACATGGAGCTTTTAAAATGTTGTTTTTAGCTTCCACAAAGTAACTGACACAGAGAAACCTGGGGTCAAGTTCTGTTATTCCAGCAAAGAAACACTGGTTGGCAGTGGTGGAATGTAAGAACGCAGCCTACATTTCTTCAAGTAGCCCACTGCACTTAAGTACAATTTTGAGGTATTTGAATTGTTCTACTTTATACTTCTACTCCACTGTATTTAAGAATCAAATGTTGTTCTTTTTATTATTTATTTTATAGTTAGTTCAGAGTTCTAGTTACTTATCAGATTATGAGTTTACACACAAAATGACCAGTTTATAAAATGTGAAACTAACCAATAGTAAGTCAGTTAAAAGTAGCTACAACAGGACACAACATCAAAGTTAACAGTATTGGTTAAAGCAAATATTTTAATATTATAACATGGACACACAGTAAGGTTTGCTGATAATAGTTCAGTATTTTTACTATTTGTAAGTTTTTACTGTTTGTATTTGTATAGCGTGGTAGTGCTACTTTTTACCTTAGGCTACTATTTCTTTTGGGTTTCTGGGTGTATGTTGAAGCTGCCGAGTAGATCTGCATATTTCCTTGGGACCATCTAACCCAGCCATGTTCACCTGAGTATTTTAGGTATTTGTATTTTGTTTAATATCTCCAATTCGGGGGAATTTTTATTATTTTATTATCTCCGATTATGGGGATTTGAATTAGGCTCAACAATTTAATATGTCTTTAATCAAAACAGGTGCTATTCTTCTCTCTGTCCTTTTACTTCTACTTGTACCCAGATTTTTCTCTCGCCACCATTTGTAGTGGCTGGAGTTTCTGAGGTTGCACATCTGGTCAAACACCACCACCCAGTGGGGGTGCTGCCTCACAAACATCTACGCACGCGTCGTCCACCACGTCACTCTTGAAACAAACTACATCTCCCATGCTCATCTCTCCAAGAGGCAGGCAGTCATGCGGATGGAAACAGGAGTGGGCATCCGCTGCGCCGCACGAAGAAGAAACTTAGAGGAAAGATGCACGAAGTGGAGGATGGCAGCGAAGCAAACTCCTGCACAGCTTCCCGCATTTTGGCCTTCAAGTCTGTTGATGTGGCCGATGTCGAGGCCGCGAAGGAGCAGGCCTCCAAGCTGTGCGGGTACTTGAACAAACTGTCCGGCAAGGGGCCTCTCAGGGGGTACAAGCCGAGGTGGTTCGTGTATGATCCAAGGAAATGTTATTTGTATTACTTTAAGACTCCCCAAGATGCATTGCCACTCGGGCACATCGAAATAGGCGATGCGTGCTTCAACTACGATGCGGAGGGGGAAGAGGGTCAGTTTGAGATCCGCACGGATGGGAAGGAGTTTCTCCTCAAGGTAGGAACTTTTCAGCGTGTAAATCACCATGTTTTGCTGTCATTTGTCACTTCTTTTGTCATTGTGGAAAGGCAGACACACCCATTCTAACTCGAGAGATTCATTCTCAACTTTGCTGTCAGTCCGGTGTGCAAATATTTCTGCTGACAGGGTTAAGCGATTTGACAACTTTTAAGAAAGACTGGCTGTTAATATAAAATAAATCAATTCTACACGTGGATCATGTTTGCCAGACAGGAGCTTCATCAGTACATTATTCAGCTAATTGCCTCAAACACGCTGTTGGTCTAATGTTTACATGCAGAGATAAGTTTAGGCTTAACTTACATGCACATGAGCTCATCCGCCCTCATGACATGCTTTACAAATGGTTACAGCATCTCATGTGATGTTGCTCTTGGTTTTCTTTGCTGTCATGTGACTGTGACCGGTTTGGTGCCAAGACAGGTGCCTCTGGTTTTAATCAGCCTGGCTGCCTGCTAAAGTCTGCTTTGTTTTCAGCAGATGGTGTGAATAGTTAAAAACCAAACCGCTTGCACTGCCAGCTCTAGGCTGGAACTGAGACTGAAACCAGGGTCTGTGCTCATTCACATGACAGATCTGAATAGTAACCGGCTATATATAAAGTGCTCTTAGACTGTTTCATATGTGTAATTTATTTCCACAGCTGTTGTCATTTTCCCAGCCAGGGTGTCAGTCCATTAATATTGGCGTTTGACTTTTAACCGTTTGATCTCCAAAACCTGTTTGACTCATGTCACTTGCAAGTAACCCTTGTGTATGTGTGTATTTGCATCTCCAGGCCCCCAGCAAGCAGGTGATGCATTACTGGCTCCAGCAGTTACAGCAGAAACGTTGGGAGTACAGCAATACACGAGGCTCTGGTCAGAGAGACAGCTGGAGCTCCCCAACCCTGGCCTACCCTCCCACCGGCCTCGTAGGCAAAGACAATGGTAGGCAGGTACACACGTGTACATGTACAGGGTGGACCCTTATTTTCACTGCTCTGTTTCATCATTATTACAAGGCACCAGCTGAAGTAAACACTTGTATCTGATGGATTAATATTTATACAAGTGCTGCAAACACAAATGGAGTCACTTTGTTGCCAGGTCCCCAAGTTTCCTACAGAAAGAGCATGTGGGCAGGGCTGTGTCAAGCATTGATTAAATGAGAAATCAACAGAGGGCAAATGAAAGGAGTTCTGCTTTATCTCGGGTGTGTTTTATTTTAATGCACTCAAAGAAATAAAACTCCTGTTGTGTGTACGTTGCACTGTTTTCAAGTATACTCACACAACAGAATAAAATGCAGCTCAACAGCATTTGCAATGCAAACAACACGAGGTTGTTGTTTATATTGTGAATGCTGTGTATATCTATGTCCTCTAAAAGGCTGTGTACAGTTATATGACATTACTTCAGCTTATTTTGATTGTTCTAGCTCAGTGAAATGAACCGTGATGGCCACTTCCTTTTCCTGCCATCGCACATGACTAATGTTTTACTTTTACAAAATCCTCTTGGTGTGTGTCTGTCTCCAAATGGCACAAGTACCCATGTTAACACCAATATCACTTTAGAGGTATGTAGTCAAATATGTTGAAATGCTAACTATCCAGCTATCGTGAGCTAATGCGTTGTTAATGCAACGTTCTAATTGTGAATGATTGT